AATTTAGTATACATGCAATACATATATATTTTCATCAGATATATCAATGATTCGAAATTCGTTATGAAATTAAACGTTTAATTATATTTTTAATCATTTACAAAGTTTGTTACCTATCGCTAATATTTTAAACTCTGAGACATTTCAAACATTCAGTGACAGATTGTTCAAGAAAAAAAAGAATATTAATAATACCTTTGTGTTTGGATATTTGTGATTGATGATAATATTTCAATACCGTAATCAGTAGTATATAGTCTTTGATTTCAAATCTCATTGTTGTTATCTTTGTTATACTAAAATAACTTTTCTAAGCATAAAAACATTCATATATTACTATCTGAACCAACGTGTAAAAGCTTAAACATTTAAAGCGTTCATTTAATACTCTGAATAAATTCAAAATTGCAGTAAATGAATTTTAACATAATACGAGTAATGAGTACATTATATTTACGTTCATATAATAATTATATATACATCACCGGGTATTAAGTTGCAATGTTTCAAGGTTAACAAAATATATAATGTGTTTAAATAGTAAGTACAATCTATAGCAAAATGATACATATTATTATAAATTATAAAAATACAGTCAGTAGGCACGGTTTAATTCGCGTATCGTTAAAATTCTCAAAATTCAATCATTCTTGGAGAAAATTTAACTATTACTACATAGCTAACAGATTTTGGTCATGTATACATGTAGGAAAACAAGGTTTATGCAATTTCCAATCGTTATTTGTACACTGTTTCAATGAGAAAATGCCAGCCGAGGACAAAAGTGATTACGATAAACGTTAACATTGTTACTTGATGAAAAATAAATATTAATAAATACTAAATAATATATTTGTTACGTCGGTATACATCAAAAAGTAACCTAAACATACATCAATATTAATACGCGCACAATAGAATCTTTAAAGTTCTTATGCCGGAAAAAAACGTATCAACACAATAAAGTTAATCCCAATTTAAATCTAATTATTTTCATACATCGCATATTACATAACATCAAGTTTAAATTCGTTGGGTGCGACAAAATAGTTTCAACATTAGTACACCGTTTTTCTCTTACCTTTATCGGGCGAATTTTTCCAATCTCACTCCAGTTCTTCGATTCAAATTCAGTCGTTGGCTGACTGCTGCTCCCATGGAAAAGAAGAATCTTCAGTGGCCGAATTCCGGAGCGCTTTGAGTGCCGTGTTCAGGAGAACCTTTTTTTAGTTTCTTTTGTACGCGATTATTGAAATCAAAAAACCAATAAAACGATAATAAAAATAAACAAATTTAACGATAGCCACGCATTGCCGAATCGTTGTAGTAGAGTCGACTGCTTACGTTAAGATAGAATAATACGCGTTAAAGGATCGTCACATCGAACAACGAAAACTAAAAACCAGACCGACGAACCGATTGTGAGACGTTCGTCAACCTGCCGCCACCGACGACGCACGCTTACACCAATCACCACCAGTCCGCCACGGGAACCACAACTGACCGGCCCAACAACCACTACCACCACCGGGCACCGACCACCATCACTAGTCGCCACCACCACCAACACCGCGGTATTCACCTTGGCCATAACCGCTGTTATTGTCGTCGTCGAATCCCCACTATCGTAACCAGTGTTTCTAATATTTTACGTAAGTACGCGCGCGCGCACTCGGTAAGTGTTTGTGTGTGAGTACGTGTACGGTGTACTGTGTGGTGTGTAAAGTGTTTGAATCGTGTGCGACTGCACACGCCGAGCGCGTAGTGCGTACCCACGTGAGTGTTGTCGATTATTTTACTGCATGACGTGCATCGTTATCGTCGTCTTCTGAAAATTTGAAATAATAATTAATAGAAAATAAAAAGATTTTTTTATCAGGTTTATTACTCAATTTTTGCGTCCTCAAGAAAACAATAAAATTATTGGACACTGGATATTACCAGCAGTATTATTACAGGTGCAATGTGTTATGTGGGTACCTATAGCGGCTGACGTTACGTCAATTCGTTCGTTTTTGTTTTGCGCGTATAGATAGCGTGCGCGCAGTATTCTTCTCTCTCTCACGTATTCGCTTTTTCTCACTTGACCGTTTACAACAAATATAATATACTGGAAACCGGTCCACTCGGATACCTGGTACCTGGTAGGAGCGTAACTGTGCGTCAACATTGCTTAGATTATATTATACCGTGTCGATGCCTGTGTGTGTGAGTAATAATAATAATAATAATGAAAAAAATCTTTACCCACACTACCGCCAATCGAACCGACCCCACATGGCCACATTGCCATCCGTATGACAGAGCACCACCACACGTTTAATTGAAATGCCGTTTATAAAAATTATTCGAATACACGCGTTAAGATTCTGCAATGGCGACAGGCCAAAGACGCGTGTTTTGCAACCATGTTATCGTACTTACCGGGCATTTCTTTTATTTTTGTTCTCAACACCCCTGCGCACACACCTTGATACTGTTCTGGATCATTACGACCACGATTAACATTACTACCGCATAACTACTTTTATGCGTATCCCAATGTAGGCACTTTAAAAATACGATTTATCACCGCGTGTTCTCTTCTCGTGGGATGCTGTACCTATGTACACAATATTGTGTTTAACTAATATAATCCTGCTCGTGTTCGATACCTACCTATTTGATGACTGACATCAATTTTCTACAAAAAAGGAATCTTAGAGGCAGATATAATATTAAGACCGCGCGAGATTGAAAAACGAAAGTCATGACGTGAAAATTACGATTTAGCGTTATCCTGGCCACAATGGGATCATCTAACGACGTACGCACTATTGGTAAACGAAATCGTAGCGAGGGAAGTGTGATGACTAAGTGCGAAAAGGGTGCATTGCAAATCATTGTTTACTAAAAACGCTATTATTAAATGACGTCATAATATTATGTTGCCGAATCCGAATGATGTGTGCGAAAAATATATTACGTCAAAACAAAACCATTAAAACCAGCGCGCAGGTGGTGACCGGTGGGTTGCATCGATCATAAGATCTTTTGTCATAAACGTATACGATATCACGATATACCTATTCAAAACTATTACATTATTCCAATTGTCATTACTCATTACAGTTTTCTATTGTATGCAATGTTATGAACATTTTAATACATTTAAATATAGTAATACTATTTAAAAACTGTACTTATTATGACCATTATTATTTTTAATTTTATTCTTATTAAAACATGAGAATAAAATATTATTATTATTATTATTATAAATTATTCGATAAACATGTTTATATATTTTTTTTTCTTACATAACTGAGTACCTTTTATACTTATTTAATATTAATCAATACTGTAAACAATAACATTTCGATTTAAAATAGAAATTTTTTATTTTTTTTGCACTATTATGTTTGTTTTTTTTTTTTTTTTTGATGAAATTCGGCTTAAACAAAAACATTATCGTGTATTGTCGGCAGATTTTATAGCGTTATTGTTATTATTATTATTATAAATCGATTGATTTTAAGATTTATCAGCGTTAGACGGACATTTGTCATTTAGCCATATAATAATAATAATAATATTTGCTGTCATTCAAATTACACATCGGGTAAAAAATAATAATCTATTGCATTTAATATGGCATTATTATTATACATAGCGATACGATGTGTGGCGGCAATATAGGCTTGACAAGTCGTGTGATAGTCATGTCAATATTTATGGTACACAGCGTCGATGGCGGCGAGCGCGGGAGATTGATACGGCGAAAGAGGGTGGATAAAAATTGGTCATATAGGTACGGGCGCATCGCGTCTCGCGAGAGCTCTTTAGTAGTAACTCGTGCCGGGCATAGTATGTACTGCGTTGTTCCGTAAGCGCACGAGCCGGTCGTTTCGTGTTTGCGTTCGTATTATAATATTATAATTTATAAACAATACTGAAATATTAAATCGTCATGTGTGGTAATAATAATTAATAAAAGTCTAATTTACAGTATTGTTAATTGTTATAATATATTTTTTGCCTTCGTGTTTATGCGTATACAGCGAATATTCGATACAGTTATTTTTTCATTCGTCTGAAAATCGCCAACTCGTACAACAAATACAGCTGTAAGTATTTACCGGTTATTATATCAATGTCATAGTTAATATTCATAATTATTTAATTATTTTTTCGTCAGACGTTCTTCGATTACTAAGGCTAGGTATATACTTAATAGTACCTAAATCTATCAATGAACGAGATTAAATTATTCTTGTTTTTAAATTAACCGATTTTTATTAATTCGAGGAAAAATTAAAAAGAAAAAAAAAAGATAATTATATTATCATTGTTATTTGTATATTGAATCAAATCAATAATGTAATCTTTCAAAATTATATACGTTTCAATATTTTTCTCTAATCAGTACCTGTCGGCTGTCACTCTATCGTCTTAGATAAAACTCATTATGTTCTTACATATTTCTTACATATTCGAAAAATTAAACAAAGAACGACCAAATAATGAAAAATTAACTAAGTTTTATTGAATTGTAATCGATTCACGGATATACTTATTAAAAATTATTATTTAGTTCCATAGACAGATGATATTGAATAAAAATCGCATCGATATTGCTGTTAATCAACTCTAAATGCCGTTTTTCTCGTGTCCAAAACGTCCGTGGACTTTGTGATATGGGTATACATAAGGAAGAGAAACGAGGCCACGCTATATTTTCTGAATCATAAAACAAAATATATAAAACACTAAACTCATGATAAGAGTCGATGTTTGATTATATTATGCTTAATGCGCACGTGTAGAAAATAGTTTGTTAATAATATTAATTTAATAATTACATTTGTTACATTAAAAAGTAAATATTATTACAAATCAACTGTACACACAAATAGGTGATATTTTATACTATATTTCATTATACAGGATAACATGCAGATAACGATCGTCGTCAAGCAGTGTTGAGCGCTAGCCAGGAGGGACAACACTCGGGAGTCGCTATGGGGGCGGCCAGAGGGTTCCTCTTGTTTATCCGCGTCTTGGCGGGATTATGGCTTACAGCCGATTGTTCCAAGTTCACCGCCGATGAACTGCTTTGCTCGAGTTACCCGAAAAAAATATCTAATGATGTCGATTTAGACCCCTGCAAGGCCGGTAAGTAACGATGTTAAAAAAAAAAAATAAATAAATAAATAAAAGAAAAGAAATAGTTTATATTAACTTGTGTATATATGTATACGTCCCAAAGGGTCCGTGTAGATTTAGTGTATACTGTTTGGGGTGCTGCTTGACACGTTTTTCTTATAAACGCGTCTGAGGGGCAGCATTCTTTAGTCGTTTGCAGTTTTATAGTAGCTATACTATGTATAGAAGTGTAGGGAGGGGTTTTCTTGGTATCTTAAGAAAGCTCAGATTAATTCCGTTTTGATGAATTTTAGGGTAAAGTAAAAAGAAAAATAGTTGTCGAATAACATTCTTCTTTCATCTGGATAATTGACATAGTAGGTACTCGTATTTGCCGCTGGACTTTGGTCGTTAAAATACGTAATGTCGATGAACTCTATATTATAGTATGGCTTGTGTATACGATATTCCATTCAATAATATTTCGTTTGTTATAGTGATATTATTATTAATTTTATTTTTGAGTAGAAAAAAAAGTGGTGTCTTACATCCAGCGCATAAAAATGATATATTGTCATAATACAATCATAGTTTGTAAATTAAAATTAAAAATTTCAGATAGTAATATAAAGAGTTTCTTGAAGAAAAAAAAATACTAGTATTAAAATCTCGTATATGTTTGGACCATACTCACAAATCATAACTTATTATACTTTTTATATCATTATAATATTATATACCGGCTTGTTTTGTACATAAACGTTTTAATATGTATACAATATACACATGAAATATTTTCTTATTTTTTACTAAAATACCATAATACTTTATTGATACAAAATTAATTAAAATACTTTGTAGTTGAGCACATACCCATTTCTTTCTAATACCTACAAATAAATAAATAACTTTTATTTATGATCGAAAATAATAATAAATAAGCCTTTGGAGTTCATATTTTTTTCAAATACTAATTATTAACAGTTTTATTAATCCATAATCTTCAGTCATTAGAATTTGTTTTTTTTTTTACTGCATGTTTTATGTACAATTTTTTTTTAAATTCTTTAGATATTTTAAACTTTTTAAGGTACTTATTTTCATTTAAATTAAAATATTCTCAGTGTTGAATACTACATACGATGCTAACATAACAATATCATCATGGTATTTATTTGAATAATGTGTAGTATTGGTAGAGATATACATATTATTTGAATTGAAGCAAGATTTTATTTTATTTTATACATATATTTTTTTCAATTTACATTATCTGTTGTACTTCAATACAAATTATTTATACTGGAGTGTATTTATGTACTAATACTTTAATATTAACACTACACTGCACTACTGCAGACTTATAATACATCTGTACTTATTACTTTATTTGAAATACAAAAAAATTAATTATAATTTTGACAAGACGACCTTCGTTATCTAATATAAAATCCTTTGACATTAATTTTTTTTTCTTATCACTTATTTACTAAAGATGAATTAAATTTTCTACTTTTTAATAGGTACATTGAATAAACATTAATTTAAACTTTATGAAAAGTCATAGTATGTATGACATGTATGTATAGAAAATATATTTTAAAATTTAGTTCTTAATTAAGATTTGATAATATGACATTCACATAAAATATAAATTAGTTTAAATTGCTTTAATCCTAAACTAATTTAACTTGAACCTTGTAATGTGATTTGCTTGTATATAATAATAATACTAATTTATTACAGAAATATAATATGTACAAATTAAAGAGGTATAATAACTACTTCAATATTTATTCTGCAATTTAGCTAATTTTGTAAACATTCAGTGAACATCCCTAAATTAAAAATACTATTGTAAAGATAATATCATGCAAACTCTTAAATTAAATAAGTATAAGTACCAAATACCAACTTATTTTATCATATGATAAACTAAAAGATTATATAATTTTATACGTTTTTTACACATTTATTCATTATTAAGGAAAAATTAATAATATTACCAATTTTTTATGTGCCTCGAAAATGTAAAATCTATTATTCTAATTTTTTACTTTATAAAAGAATTAAAAATACCTGGCAATTTATTTATTTTTTATTTTTTGCTCAGGTAACAATTAATTATGATATATTAGAACATATATATATAGAACACTCTAACATAATATATAATATAAATAATAAAACGTAGAAAAACAATTAACTAAATTAATGATAAAATAGGTATAAATTAGTTTCATTAATAACTATATTTTATATAGTATATAATTAGCATTTAGCAAAATAAACAGTAATTAAAAAGAGTTTTACATTTGTACCAACACGTCGAGGTCATTTTATAGTTAAGGTAAACATTATATTAAATAGATAGTATTAATTACTACATTAAGAAGTTATGACATGTTCTTTGTAAAATATAGTGAAGATTGTTTTTAGTCTAGCCTTTCCTTGGGATTTGTAATATAAAAATTATATTAGTATAATATTGTACCTAATTCCTTTATTTATTCCTATTTATCATTAAATGATAGTTCTATAATATATCTCCACATTTGATGTCTATTGTGAGCAGTTACTGTAGTCTATGTACATTGTACACATAGAATATTTTTCAAACTGCTATAAAATTTCTAAATATGTATACGATAATATATAAATACGGATTACATTTAACTGTGTAAACAACATTATATACATTAAATTTGAATTACAATTGAATTGTTGAATATTGTATTCATGTAAACTTAAAAATAAGGACACGTCGTATTATAAATTATTAAAGAGTTAATTAATAACTAGTAGTTGGATTTTTATCTTAAATATTTGTTTCTAGTATATACAGTAAAATAAGATAAAGAAACGATTCGTGAAATACAAAATTTATAAAAAAAATTTTATTTTGCATAAAAAAGCATATTTTAGAGGTTAGAAATTATTTAAGAAAAAAAACAATATTTATAATTTTATAAATATTTTCCTAAGAAAATAATTAATAATTTTATTACTCATTATTTGTATGTACCATTTATGTGCCAATTAATTTTTATTGTAAACTAAATTAATTAAATAAGTTTAAACTGTTTAATTTTAATAATAATTTTTTTTTACTCATTGAATAATTAATAAATATTTTAAATTTTTAAGAACATAAATCATCATATACCTGATATTTTAAAAGAATAGATATATTTCCTATTTTTAATGTTTAAAAAAATCACGTTTAAAGGATTTTAAGACTATATAAATTCGACTTCTACTAATAACTATATTTTTAAAAATCTTAAATTGTAATATTTACATAACCTCTAAAAACTTGCTTAAAAATTAAAATATAATAAAACTCCATAGTAAAATATAGTTAATGTTTTTACTTTTAAGTTTGATCATTGGACAATTCACTCTGTTATTAAAGGTTAATACACAAAATTGAAACTGTTGAACAAAAATTTGTTATATTATACATTTATACGTTTATAAGACGTAGATAACACGCAGTTGTGGCGTCCTCTTAATATTAATTAATTTACAACACATATAACTGTTTAATGAAACGTCTAGCTAATTTTAGATATATTTTATTAAAATAGAATTGTAATTAATATCGTTTTTCATTATCAAATTTGTACTATTGCATTATTGTAAAGATATGATAATTATTACACTAATGAATAATAAATATTCATTAAAACAATAAAAAAATATTTTATATCTAATAAATTTATAATAATATTTTCTTACAACATTAACTTGGTGAATCAAATTTTTTTTTTATATACAGAACTCAACAAATATTCATGTATAAAATATTTAGTAAAAATATTTTGTGTAAACATTTTTTGATAATTCAAAATTTATACTTAAGCATTTTGAACATTAAATATTCAATTCGTTTTTATTGATTTGTAAATATTTACAATACTGTATTATATTTAAATATAATATAATTAATATTTATCAATATAAAAATACCTGTTAAATTAATTAGATTTTGTTAAAACACATATTTTGAGATAATAGCGTATTTTATCAATAATCAGCAAGTGATTTTATTTAATTTTAATTTTATAATAAATGCAAAATGTACTAAAAAAATCAGACATGCATATGGTAACTGGTTTTTATAGTACATAGCATACTTGTTTTAAGCATAAGTTTTAAGCAGGTACCATAGAATGAGGTGTGTTGTAACATGAGGGTTGAAAAAAAAAGCAATGTTAAGAATAATATAATTTTCCATTGATTTATAAATGTTTTATGATAAGCAAAAAATTATTCCTCCACAATCCTGTTGTGATGAAGGTATTTGCAGTATGATAAAATATGCCGATTACAAGTGACCAGAAAATAAATATTCCTAATTAACATGTGTGTTTAACATTAACAGTTTTTTTTTAATATTAATTTTTTTATTGGTACAACACACTTATCTGTTTATTAAAACTAAGTGGCTGTCGATATTTATATCTAATTCTATCCAGTTAAGGAGTAGTCGGTTAGCTATTTCCACTATACGAACCGGTCTTAAGAACTGGGTTGTTGAATTGATAAAATAAAGTTTTCAAAGTTACATTTTACAGATCCTAGAAACTTATGACCTGCGCTCTTAACTAACACAATAGAAACAATATTATAGCAACGTATTACAAGGTTTATTTATAAGACTAAATATCAATATAATTATACAGTACACTATCATCTGAGTAACCCTGTTCTTGAGAGTATTATTTTGAAGATCACAGATGTAGTGGAGTACGAGTTGAAACGATTGAATAAATTATGATTTATCTATAAGGTAGGTTATTATACCTATAGTAAATCAAATTAAAAATATTACTTAAAAATATATAGACTGCTGTTGTCTCTATTTCACGAACCAAACTCAACTGATTAGCTATATCTAAATGATTTATATATACTCGTACTCTACGTTCCTTGTGTTCTTCTGACCTAAGCAAAATTGCAGAGTGTAGCATAAATGACGCGTCAGTAACATAGTAACATATATATCGTTACATTGGTTAATAATTAAAAATGTCGAAAAATCGGAGTGAGTTTCAACTTCTGCTTTTAACAATTAAATTTCTTAAAAAATGATATTTTAACACGTTCAATTTCGTAGTCGACACATGTCGACAAATTAGTTTTTGATTTTAATGTCTTATAATTTTTGCCAGTAGTGTTTGATTTTATTGATGTTTTCTTCTGGTTATTTGTGATTATATTATTAATTTAATGGTGTATTTGGTTTAATTTTTTGTCAAAAATATATCTTTTTTTTACGGTATACTTACTGTGTTAGTGTGTTATACTTAGATGTGTTTATAAATAAAAGTTCGGCTACATATCTTTTTGATAATATCGGTAAAATTTGAGTAATCAATAAACATAGTTTGGTAATTTAACTCACCTGTAAGTGCCACTTGTATACATGTGCGATATTACTTATTAGTTATTACTAATTACTAATTATAATATATACGTACAAACTATTATTAAATTTTCGAATTGTACACTCCGGCTTGTTATATGCTTAATACGGTAGTCACGTTGAAATATAGCTCACAGATAAATTGGCTTAGATTTAAATTTAAATGTTTTACACCTACGCGAATATGACATACTGATTCACAGTTGACAATCCGTGACAAGCTATTGACGTATATAAATTTAAAAAAAATGTATATACAAATGCTATATTACGATTATGGTTATTATTACTCATTAGTTATTATCATTATTAGAATAAATAAATAATTCGAACATCATCATTTATGCCAATTATTTCTACCAATTAATAGTACCTACCTATATAGTTTGACATGTATCCTATTCCGTTGAAGCCTACGGCGGTAAACTTAACTTTTTTGAGGGTTGAACTTCTTCGAATTTAATGCAAATGAAAGCAAATGAAACAGACTTATTATAATTCCGCCCACCGCTTTGAGGCATCTTCCTTTGAGGATGACTTTGGTGAACGTTCATAGCGAGGGGATATATAATGCGATTTCAGTCATATTAATAGGTTTCGTTAACGAAAGTTAAGATATTTCAATCAAAATATTACACTCACTAACCGGATGAGTGAGAAAATTAGGCTTGTCTCGTGCAAATTTTCTCAAATTAACGACAAATTATATTATTTTCTCGACCCAAATATCATAGTACATTAATAGCACACGTATGCTACTGTAGAGGAATTGCTGTACCGTGTAATTACAACATACTGTAAACCACATGTATTTTTGATTTTTTTTTTTTTTGATCATACGCATTTTAAAGAGTTTTACTACGTGTAGTATAACCATAGCATATGTATATAAAATATATATATTGTTTAAATTGAGGTTATTATATTATATAGGTACTTTAATAAGTGGTTACACAGTGTATGTACTATATTGAAGATAAATATCGTTATAATTATTTCTTTTTTTTAAACTTTGTTTAACACTATAACTCATTATAAAATACGTTATTCAAAATACAGATTTGAAAGCGAAAGCCCTATTTTATCGTTATACCTACACTTATGATATTTAGACTTATGCATTTAGCGGGTGTTAATAATAATGTATTTTTAGTCAGAGCATTTGTCAGATTTGATTTGGTTTTATTTTTATAATTCCAGAACTGAGCAATATTTTAGCTATTACTTTTTACAGTAATTTATGTTGTCTTTAAAGTATTTCAAAAAAAAAAAAAAAAAAATGATCATCAAACATTCCACCCAAAACAATGTATTTAATATTTAATATAAGTTATACATTGTATAATTAGACTAAAGTTAATGATATAATGGTTAGTATGTAGTATACCTTTATATTGTATTGTATGATTACAAGAATAATCGAAAGTGCTCGTTTAATACATTCAATATAATATTAAAAACTCGTTAAGAATTGATCAAAAAATAAAATTTGAACTAATTTTTTGTTGGTTTGATTTTCTTGAAATTTAGAATAATATGTAAATAACAGAGGCTGAAACGTGTTTCTAAACTTGTTTAAAACGCGCACACTAAAATCTTCTAATCCGTATTATACTTAACGCTCACCGTACGGTTAGATTGTGTAATGTACAGACTATAAAGTAAATAATATGCAGGGTCAATTGAGTCAACACTGAACACATTGTTAGTTGTTACGCAAATCAGAGTATTTTTTTCTTTACTGATGTACCTATCGACCTACTACTACCTACATAGAATATATATAAGTTCAATAATATATAAACGATTTCTATTCAAGAATTCTATATAATACTCGTGTAGTGGTTAAGGGACGCGTTTATCTCATAAATTAACGGTATTATCTATTTTTAATCCAGGCATTAGGTAAAAGAGCACGTTCCGTTTGCAAGGTACCTACTGAAAGTCAGTAAAATAGTTTTGCGTTCGTTATAGACTACAGTGTGCAGTAATATAAATACATATATCATTCAGATTCTTGGGATAAATAAGTTATAAATCATTTCGGCTGGCTGTAGGTATAATATGAACAAACGTATATTGCATATTATAATGTATTTATATTATGTAGAAACAATATACCAATGGCAACAAAATAAAAAATATAACTATAAGGTAAAAATAATTTTCATACTGCAGAGAACGCAACAGCGCATTTATGTATATATACATATATAACTGATATTTTGTGTTATATAGAGACATATAACGATTAAGTTCCTCGAGGCGTTATATCGTTATATTAATTTTAATGGCATTTAAAATAAGCGAATACTAAACTATTAAGATTAGACTAAGAAACTATTTTATTAACATTGGGTTGGGCTTATATATACGTTAAAAATATTTTACCAGAATTTCTAGTCCGTATTATCGAAGTATTAAACAAATTCCAGATCGTAATCTGGAATTTGCTTTAAACTCTTAGTATACGCTATTACGTTGGATTATCTTAAAAATCTGAAGACACAAAATTAATGTTTTTTTAAGTGGCCATTGTTATAAAATCTTACTATTTATAATATTTCAAAATCTATGAATTATATTATGTTCGAAAAAGTGAATTACGATTACGTTTTAAATAATTATAAAATAAATATTTTATAAACTTCCAAATAATTAGTTTCAAAATCAACTAATCTAAAATTGACTGTATTTTAAAATTATAAAAATATAAATGTATAATAAGTTTAATTAATGTAGATAATCATAATGGTATATTTTTTTAACCGTTTTTGGATTCTGAGCGGAGCAATGAATGTATTCATTTTACATCGATGTATGTATTATTTTTTTGTACGTCATCAATTTTGGGGCAAGCAGAAGAAATGCTTTGATTTTAAATTTTGAAGATGGTTTCTGATAAAAAGTTGAACATTGTTGGTACTTTAGTTAATTATATATTACAGTACTTTTTTAATAATCGAGAAAAACGAAAAAATTAAGAAAAAAAAGAATTGTTTATGCAAAATGAGTTTTTGACCAAATTGTTTTATTTTTATTTTGTGATAATTCAAAAAGAAGAAACTTAAATTGTTCATCATGTGTTCTTATTACCATTTTCTATACATAATATAATTTTCAATAGACAATATGTATTGACTCTCTTTGAGCTATGTACAAATTAAATATTTTTTCTATAAGTGTCAGTAAAAAAAATTTCCACTAATCAAAAATCTTAAAAATCTAATATAAGATTCCCAATGAGTTGTTTTTATATGCATACAAAAATAATAAGTTCGATTTTAATATGCATTTAAAGAAAAAATTTCGACAAAATTCGTCAAGATCGCAAAAAATTGCAAACTATTGTAGTTGGAAATTCAAAATTTTTTTTTCTTTTAATATTAAATATTTGAAAACCCAATACAACATTTCTCATTAGTAGTTAACACTGGAACCAAAAATTTAAAAAAAATCTAAATACAAAATTCAATTTTGTAGAACTTTGGTCGAAAATCTTTAACTATACAATGATGAATAACAATGTTAATTATTTTGTTATTATACACTAATATTATTTGTGGAGATTTAAAAATTTTATGTTAATTATAAATTTTATTATAGGTACGCAATAAAATTTTTAAAATATTACTTATTCATACAATTAACATATATTAGACTGTTTACGGTAAAATTATCAATACCAATTGATTCAAAAGTAAATAACAATAATGTGATATACTAATATGGTAAAAATATATGATATTATTATAATCATTAAATATTATTGGCATAATAAATACAATATTTTCGGAAAAAAGTTAAATCTACCATAATACTAAGTGTAAAATAAATGAGCTTTATAAAAATTATAGCATGAAATATACTTAGTGATAAAGGCTGACAGTTCGTCTCCCCTCAGAATCGTTTTTTATGTATGATTTATCATTGAATTTAAATTTAACACATCCATTATAGTGACTATTTCGACACAGTATTGCAAAGCCGCGCGATAACGACTGCCCCTCTTCTTTTTTATTTGTTTTCCAACGTATCGCTAATGTTAATTTTATTACGAAATTAAAATAATTAATTAAAACTACTAATACTATAATATATGGAGGGATATTATGATACTTAAATAAATTTATGTACAGCTATAGTACAACACATTCTGAATATCCAATGAGTTCGTATTGAATTGTTTTCAATTAAATGCCAATTACCTATATAATCTCCGTAGAATAACAAAATATTCGTATACTTATTTTAGAATCGTAAAAATAATATTTCATTGTGCTCCTTTGCTGTTTTTTTAACGGTACTTTTTATTTTTAGATTACATTATTTCGCTAATTGTTTTTATTTTATAATTAACTATTTAGTATTTAAAATTCAGATCAAAAATAAAGTAACTTAGGTATCTAAGTTGTAATTTATAGATAGCCGGAATAAAATAATATATTAAAACTATCTAAAAACTATTTTTATTTTCATTTAATCATATCATTAATAAATAATTAATTTTTTTAGGTAATTTTATGGGTGATATAGCCGTACCTGATGTAGAATACACCAATAAAAAAGAAAAAGACAGACAATTATATGCAGAAAAAATTGAAAAATATAAGAAAGAAATCAACGAAGGGCTGCAAATCGAAGAAGAGGGTATAGTACAAGGGATGAGTAAGTCAATTGATGTAACGCAGATCAAGATTAGACACAAGCACAACAATAGGACAAGGAAGAATCACTTGAACAGGAGAAAAAACGACGATCATTGGGATAAAACAACAGTTGATAATTCTTTAAGCAGGTATCTATCTCAATAAGGGAATCATGCAATATTTTATACATTATGAATCATAATTTTATAAAAAAAAAATAATAAAACATCAGATAGTATGCCAAAATAATCATTAAAAAATAAAATGACAAAGTTAAAAAAAAATATAAAAAAGGAATCTGTTATTGATTCTTATAAAATATATAGTTTGTATATTCCATACTTTTTTCGCATAAAAAATTCACTAATTCAGTGCTCACCTGTAAAGTTATAGGAATTTAATATTGGTAAACCTATTTTAAATCCGTATTTGCTAAAACTATATTATATAAAAAAATTGAAGAAAGTTCAGATCTATTTACTCAAACTTTATTAAAATGTTAAAAATAAATCTACTCACTCCTTACATTTTCCTATCGTTTTCTTCTCACAAAAACTAGTAGAAATTTAATTTCTCAAATATCATTTATATCTATTACAATATAAATCGATGCCATATAAATATTTTGAGCGTTATTTCAACTAAAAAAAACCTATATTGAAGTTGCATATTTGTAAAATATTTTTAAATGCTTAAATAATTAAAGAGTTCGTTAGAAAAAGATTATTGTATGTAAAGTTGAAATATTTTGTATTTTCAAATGCAGGTAAAGTTTTAAAATTATTTATCAATGGTTTATTAAGTTTTTAATTTTTAATAAATTTATGATGTACTTTTATATAATTATGTAATTCTATTGAAATAGTAAAATTGTCCCTATTTAGTTATTTCCGCATATGTATTTATTTTAAATAATGTATTCACTACTAAAATGTGGGAAAATTCTGGATAAATGTATAACACTGATTTTTTTCATACATAATTTGTTCTCACTTTTATTAACGTACATAATGCAGTGTGAAAAATAATGAGCTCGTTCTATTATATCAATATAATAAATACGTTTATCGTGTTAAACTATAGAAACGGAGAATAAAAATTGAGTTAAATTTTTAAGTGCTAATTCGCTCTTTTAGAATATTTTTAGTTTTGTATAGTTACTAGTTAATATACAATTTGAAAATAATTGTATTAGTTTATGATATCTTCAAGAATTGATTATATAATCGTATATCAATTTGAAATTATGAATATTACGTATAAATAATTGAATACTTATCAGTGTTACTAAGAATCTAAAAACAAAAGACATACGACGTCATACATATGTGTTGTTGTTATATGAGCGATTCCTAATTATTATATCGAAAAAAAATTGTAATTCTTCATAATTTGTATTCTCTTTGTATGAACGTTAATTTGTGTCTTTAGATAATGTTTTTTAAGAAGCGTTTTATTTTATTATCTTTATCTATAATAAATTATACATTTTATAAAATATCAAATAATTTTTGAAATTTCTTGTGAATCGCGGTCCACGGGTTTCTATCATGAATTGTAATCAATATTCGACAGGAGTTGATTAAAAAAATTATAATATACTGGATTAGTGTGTACGTGAGAAATTTTCACCGACACATTTTTAACAGGGCCACAAAAAAAAAACCTTTCTCATTGGTTGCAGAGTAAAAAATTCGTGCGGTTGATTTCGAAAAATGAAATCACTATCGTTACCCAACTATCCAAACCGTGGAACACACTCGATAGCTGATAGGACAACATTATTACATATTATAGTTAATGTATTATATATAAGACGTACACAGTTGTGCAAAGACTGCAAGACGTTCATATTGCGGGTTTCAATTTTCGGTTGTCAGGTCCTCATGTCGACCAGTACGTACATTGTTTACTAGGTATACATATAATATAATAATTGGTTTGGATAAATGTCGCCATCATTGTTGCTTTGATATAATGTCATAACACAAAACGTTTTTTTTTCTTTATTAACTTTGTATTATAATTTTATACAAATTATATTTAGTTCAATTATATGTTAGACCATACCGTGTTACGTATCATGTACCTAACGTACTATTTGTATTTTTTTGATTGCACGAGAAAACGGCACATAATATAATTTATGTAATTATAATAACCAAGCTTCGGGATAAGTATCTCTAAAAATAAACACTTTTATGTATGCACTTAAAAATGTAATCAACTGGATTAAACACGTATAAATGAATAACATAATTTTTAAAACAAATGCATTTTTAGTTTGATTTTAATTTTAACTATTTTAATTATTTTTTAAGTATTTCACGTGAGTAATAAAGAAAACATCAGCATATATATTATAGTCGATTTAAAGTGAAATAATTGTTATTATTTAGATATGAATTTGATAATAGAATAGATTTTATTTTTTTTTTGTAAAAATTGGCTGTAACATAATATTCTAAAAAAAATATTTTACAAAAAACTATTTAAAAATATTAATTGAAAGTTATTATGTATACCTTAAAAAAGTAAAATGTTGTACTTAAATATTCTATACTTAAAAAATGTATTTTTGTATTCGTGTACTACTCTGCTATGTTAAACTACATACAATATAAACATGAAATTGTTATAAATATGCCTACGTTTGATGACGGATTGTGAGGTTCATGTTACATAGTTTACAAGTCACAACTTGTGAAAAAAAAATAAAAATCACAAAATTCATCTCGTTTTTGAGAGATAACTGAAAATAAAAAGTTATCATACGTGTAGTAAACTGTTGTTTTGTGTACGTGATATATACTTGGCGCTGGAATAACGACGATAACGAATAAAATAATGTATTATGTATCACGTTTTATAGTTTAAAAAAAGTGTAGGGGAAGGTTGCACTCCCTTTTGTAAAAACAAGATATTTTGTTTATTTATTTATTGATACGGGTTGAACCCAATTCAAAATATGTTAAGATTAATTGCAGCCTGCAGGTAATTATAATTCAAGTGAATGAAAATAAAAATAGCGATAATAGTAATAAATCAAAATCAATATATTTGTTATCAAATAAAGAAGATGGGTCCTAATTGATCAATTCCATCATTCTCTACAAATGATTAATTTTTTATTGACATGTATGAAAGAGGAATAAGAAAAAATTGGACTGGTGAAATTTTTGAGGGGGGACAAAAATATTGATATTGTCCAATAATACTGGAACACCTATACCCGAATTAAAAATGTTTGACGATAATACTATATTACTATCAACTCTTTTAATAGCTAAAGATTCTAATATAATGACATAAAAAATAGAAAGACATTCAATTTTTAAAATAAATGCATAGAACATGAACAATTTTAGTTGGAAACGTCCAAGCTAACATTTTGTAGTAATAGTGATAAGAACACAAATAATTCAATTGTACCAAACTATAGAACAATACGACGATTTAATAGAGGAAGATAACTTAAAATCAACTCAAATATACGCTTGACAAAACCTAAAAATTTTAAAGCTTTACAAGACATATTTTGAATGTGTCATCGGATACACAATTTATTATCAAAAATAAAACCTAACTCAACTATTTTATTCTTAGACGATATTTTATTAACCTCGTAAGTTAAGTAATAGGATTATATTATAATATTCCGAATTCTTGAATAAGTCAAAAGATGGCATTTTGAGATATTTAAAGAAATATCAATTTATCTTTCTATTTTGTGTCAGTTGATATTATAATAATAGTAATATTTCGAGTGTTCGCATACCGACATAGATTTACTCACTAGCGAAAATTTGACGTGCGGGCTTGATGTTTACCATTATTATTTATGTGCACCCGCACAGCGTGTCAGTTCCAATGCGATTTGATTAATTATAGCTGAATAGGAACGTTTGACGATGCCACGTGTATGAGTTCGTGTGTTTGTGTGAATGAATTGCCCACAAAATGTTCTTAATCCTATATTCAGGATAGTAAATACTATAATTTCGAGTATTATAATACAATGTATTATGTGTAGGCGTATGAGGTTGCAATAATATTTTTTATCAATGTCATTTACTAAGAAATAAAATACTTTAACAATTATTATAACAAATATGACTATATTTTTAAAATAATACCAATATCATTAACAATATGATTTTTTTACACGAACCTAGCAATATTAAAAAAAAATTTATAAGAAGGATTAAGAAATTAATTTTAAAAAAATACCTCGTATTTCAAGTTTTTAGAAAATAGTTAAATTAATTAATTATTCTGTACATAATATAATATAATATAGTATATAGGTATTTATAATCTATATGAATATTAATCGTATTAAACAAATCGAATGGTTTTTCGATTGGTTAAAAACTTGATGTTCCTGTATTTAGAGTATTCTTGTATTCAACATAAATATTTACTCCAACCTAAAACGAGTGGCAATTTTTTTTAATTATAAAATTTTCTCCTTATTAACCTCTTAAAATTAAATTTAAAACCATTAGGTTTGCTTTATATTTTGTGAAAATAAATACTTATATATTTGTAACGTTTTTAAGTATGAGTTTATAGTTTTAAAAATCTATCTTTGATAGATAATGATTAAAATTAAATTAAAAAATTAATTTTATTTATAGTTAACTATAGGGATATTAGTGATATTACTATAAAAATTTATCATACATTATATATTGTTTTTTTTTTTTTACGAGAACTATTCATTTCGAAATTTTAACATCAATAATTTTTTTCTAGCAACTATTTTATACGATTTATCGTTTTTTCTCCAACTTAGTTAACTAGTCGTATTATTGTTAATATTAGGTGAAATAGTAAAAAAAAGTATAAGTATCTGTACGCGATTCTTTACTCATAATATTGTGTACATATTACATAAACGCGGTTTTTAATAAATTACGAATTTAACTTCCAAATGTAAGGTTGAAACGAGTAAATTAGAATACTCGCACGCCGGAAAACGATAATATAATTATAGTATTTCAATAATTCAATCTGATAGCATTGAAATAATTTGTTTGGTTACAGGAACATTGTCCATTCGAGGAGACGTAGAGCGGCCACTGCAAGAAAAGAAAGAGTATGGGATTTCGGCGTAATACCTTACGAGATCGACAGTAGCTTTGGCGGTCCGCACAAAGCGCTGTTCAAACAAGCCATGCGACATTGGGAAAATTTCACGTGCATTAAATTCGTTGAACGCAATCCTGACGAGCACCCTAATTACATTGTGTTCACCGAAAGACCTTGTGGGTAAGACGTTTCGTGGACATTAGTAAAATATATTCTACATCTCTCAAGAAACGTATCATGTTTTTGTGTATTATTATAGTATGGTAAATTTTGAAGTCAAAAATAAACATTATCGTATTATTATAGTATCTAAAATATTCAAATTTCTGTACTGAGCCCCGCCAAAATCTTACAGATAGAAAACAAATTAAATTGAGAGCTTAGTCCCCAGAAATATCTGTATTATATTTTATTAAGGATTTTATTATTTGTGGCATTCACGACTATGATAAATATAACTATCAAATACATGACCCTATCTCCACACATAAACTCTCTAATCATTAGTATGATGAACGTACTTCATACTTAATAAACTTATTTACTAATTATATTTGTATAGTATACAAAAATATACAATTAATTATTATATATTACAATCTATACAGTAACAATATATAATAGATTAATAATGTCATAATATTAATTTTTTAAAGATATCACAGGTCCACGAATTCTTAAATTGCAATAAAATATTAAAAATATGTGAGCAGTGTGAATTATACTATGAAAGTTATTTGATGCACAATCAGAGTTTATTTCATAAACTGATTCAATAATATATATACATTTTTAAATCGATTAAATAATACAATATTAAGTTAATGATAAATACTAAAATTGCTATTCATTTATTATTAAAACGTTTATCTTATTATTATAAACAATAAATTACTGCTCTACCTATAAATATAATCGGTACAATCATATTTTTTCGTTTATCACCGACGACGCCGCCAAACTACTCTCGTAATACTTCCGCGAAAATCATATTTGATTATTGTCTAGTTACCAGAGTTTGAAAAAGGTCTGGTGTTAAGTATTTAATCAGTGTTTTGTTTTAAAAGAATAAATTAGAATATTTATATTCGGTGCATGCTACTTTCGTATTTGTAATCAGTAAGTCTGAATAAAATAGGTCTTAAGTAATAATTTATGTTCTAACATGCCTATTTAAAAATTTAGTTTGTACCCTAACTCTCAACATACAGTTATCGGTAACTATTAATATAATAATTTAACAGTATGATAATAACTGTTAGATTTCATATTTTTAAAATTCTACAATAAACACATGCAAATTATCAAAATAATTATAATATAATTGTCATTATAACATAATATATTTGAAAATGTACTGTAAAATTCGTTATACATAACTTACATAATAGTAACCTACTATATATATTTTGTTAAATATATAGAACAAATATATGTTAAGTGTCAGCATTTTAAATGTGTTTCTTTTAACTAAAACTAAAATTTAATAATAATTTCTACAACAAGTAATCATACATATAATCAAATAAAAAAAAAAAAAGAGTTCTTACAAAACCATAAAAATAGGTAAATAATTCGCTCAACTTTTTTTAAAGATACTTTAAGTTAAAAATGGATATTTAAATAAAAAAAATAATGAATTTGGTTATTTTATTGTGTTTAATTTAGTATTGACTTACAACTTATAAGTTTATAATATACGTATTGTAATTACTAATAGTTAATATTTAATAATATGATATATGAAATAATATTATAATAATGAATAATGATATATAATGTTTGCGATTTGTATTTAAAAAAAATCAGTTCGATCTACCATATAACTAATAGCAAAATAAATTATTTATAAAGCAATTTAAATTCTTAGAAATATAGGCTGATAGACAGTCTTCACTAAGAATCGTTTTTCGTATTAAATTATTTATCAGTGGATTCAAATTCAATACATCTATTACAGTAACCTACTTAATGACAAGATATACCTACCAATAACTATACAGCAGAGAGACTTCCTCGGTTTTTTTTTCAGAACTATGTTTTTTTGCACATTGCGTGAAATCGACAAATTATCACGTTTCATATTCTAGTTGAAATATTCGTAGAGAATTGAAACTATTCACTATTACATGTACTATTATTAACTATTTACAATGAAATCTTTAAAATATTTGGATTTATTTAAAAATATTTAGGTATGCTTTGAATTCATTTACGCTATTCTAATGTATAATATGTACAATATGTGCATAGGTAGGTATTTACTTAGAAATTAATATCAGAAAATAATATTTTAATTATTACTATAATATAATATTATTTTATGCGATTGGTTTTTGGTAAAAATTATTTCAATCTCCACTATTACTAATAGCAACATATATGTAGGTATAGTAAAATATCCAAAAAATAGTATACTGACAAACCTATTGAATGATGATTTGATGTACACAGCACACTTGCCAATTTTAATCATCTAGACAACTTATTATATTCTGCTTTTTATTGTTTTAATTGGTCTATTGTTATTTCGGAAGTCCCTCTCGTTATCGACATCAAAATTAGTTATTGATTACATTTATATTAAGTGTAAGACGTGAAATTACTACTTAATATACAAGGTACTTCAATTTTCTAAAATTCATAAATATCTTTCCGTAGCTAGATTTTTGAAAGCATGCATTATTTTCTTTGACGTATTTATTACTAGTTTTATACCATGGTCAATCTATTTAAGTTTAAAACAAGTTATGGTACATTTCTATATTAAAATATTTATAAGGTTTAACTACTTTTTTTTCAAAATTTAGCTGTTATATATATTTTCCTTAACATTCATTATTCAGTCATTAGTCATTAATTATTATTATCATGTAGGTGTACTTATTTATTAAATTTAATAGAAATAAAATAGAATGCATAGACTTTTTATATTTGATTGATTAAGATTTAATTATGTACTGTGGTAAAACGTAAGTTTTATTGAAGTCAGGGATGGGCAACTGACAGTCTGCATAATTTTTTATCTGGCTTGTGATACATTTTTACTTTATAATATTTTAACGTTTCTCTGTGTTTTATTTTAATACATATTTTCTTTATAAAACATAGATATTAATTCTTATCTAGCATTGAACTGTAGCTAAATTATTAAATGTCTAAATATGTATTGTTTAGAGGTATAGCTAACAAAGCTAATAGGTACTTACTTATTTTATCAGTTTAGTCGTTTCTGTAGTAGTTGTGTCACGCTAGGTTTTACTTAGTTTTATTATTTTCTTGTTTTGTAATGTTTCAAAAAATATATCCGATAAAAAGCGTAAAATCGCCAATATAAATAGAACTTATAATAGCTAGCTTATGGGAGAATGAGTATTTATTAGCATTAAGTTGATTTTGTTGAATTATCAACTGCAACTAAAAATTCTCAAATCTCATATTAAAACATGTTGTAAATATAAAAATAAATATTAAAGAATTATATATTTTAAATTTTAATGACTTTTTTTTACTTTCTATGTTCTCTGGTCCACCAGATTTTAAAGTTAAAAAAATTGGCTATCTAATAACTTTGAGTCACTTGTCCTTAATCTAAGTTATAGAAAAAATAATTAGCTAACAAAACTTGCTCAATTTTAATATTAATAATTATGATAAATAATATAACATTTGTTTTTTAAAAAACTCATTCAAATTATTAAGTAAACAATACTAAATGTTTTAACATTTGGGTTTACAAGTTAAGTACATAATATTTGGTATATACCATTTAAGCGTAATAAATATATTTATTAATTATTTAGAAACTCAACAGTAAACTTGATTAATATATCAGTATGCAACAGTAACGTACTAGTATATCGTATCATTGCTAAAGTCAGATTTTTGGGGGTCCATAGTATCTCGGCTCACCACAAAATGAGACTTTCCACACAAAGTAATATTTTTTTTTTACATTCAATTATGTAAATATAAAACACAATTCTAATATAAATTGTGATTTTCATAATTTAATAAATACCAAGTAAAATGAATGCATAAAAGTGAGAAATGAGAATACAAATAAGAATTTAAACTCGATAATTAGGAATTTATAAAATACTGGAAAAATTACTAAAGAAAGTCGGTAATTTAGTTTGGTTTTAACAAAGCTAGTTATAAATAAACACATATAACTTGTAGTTTGTACAATTTTTTATCAGTGAAATTTATTAAAAACAAATTGCGAACTTTTATGACACTAAGTCGACTATCAGGTCTTGCACTGAAAGTGACATACTATTAGATCATTAGATTTTTCTCAAGTGATTAAAAAATCAACAGCAACAAAATTTCAAAGATATTAAAATAATCTAACTATAGTTTAATACAGTTAACTATTTTTATTCAATTATATTATTTTTTTTGTATTTGTTATTTTATTATAATTTTTTTTACCATATTTTTGACTAGAATATTTTTTTTACAGTAAATTTTAATCTATTATTACGTATAATTTGAAAATAATAAAGCCGTTACTAAAGGTCTAAATATGGGATTAGTGTCTACACATTCCTAAATCCGGCACTGATCATTGTTAATATTAACTGATAGGAATTTTAGAAATTAAGTATATATTTATTGCATTTATTTTTATGTGGAAATAAAATTATTCCGTCTCGAATAGATAATTTACATGGTCTATGGTAATGATAAATACAATAATAATATTCACAGAAATACAGGAATGGCCATTATAATATAGCAATATATTATAGTATTATACGCATAATCGTGTCGTGTAGGAATCATGGCGGAGTTTCTTCTATGTCTTATATGAACATTTCAAATAACTTAAATATTTAAATAATTTCTGCTGGTGGTTATAGATCGATGATTTATGTACATATTCATTTTCCTCCCATTTTTCAGATGTTGTTCTTTCGTGGGCAAACGTGGCAATGGCCCGCAGGCGATATCTATAGGCAAAAACTGCGACAAGTTCGGCATCGTTGTACACGAACTTGGACATGTGGTCGGTTTCTGGCACGAACATACCAGGCCGGATCGTGACAATCACGTGCAGATCGTGAGAGATCACATCATAGTCGGTAAGGCGATGTGAAAATATTTCAAAATACAATAGTTTAATATTTATTTTTTCAAACATAATATTATACAGATATAGATACTAATAAAATAGGACCTGTTTGTGAATGACAAATAAGTCCTATTTTATTTGTATCTACATCATCGATTTTATACTATATTATACAAGCATTTTATTCAATAATTCATTGAGTTAGAAATGATAATGAATTTCTTTAGGTATCCTAGTAAATTATAGGTATTACTTCTTACTTATCCTTTCCACTTTGTGTTATTATACAAATGATTTGAAAAAAAAAAGTCGTTTGGTATTCTTTGAATATCCTGTTCAATCAAAATAAATATTTTAACTCTCATTTAATATTTTATTTTGAAAATAACTGCTTCCAAACGACTCAACGTGTTTGATAAAAATATAAGATATTTATTATTTTATAGTGAAAAGAAAATTGCAAATTTGTATAGTCAAAAATCTCTATTTTAATACCTAATCAGAAAAATATTATGCGAAGATTGATTTTCTTGTAGTAAACATTTATTATTGTTTTGAGAAAACATTAAAGTAATAAATTATTTCTTTGAAGTAAATATTTTCCACTTTCTCAGGAATCAATAAATTTATACTATTATATATGTATAAAGTCTTATAAGTTCCATGCTCAAATTGAAAATGTTCTAATATTATTTTTGAAAATTTCAATCTTTGAACTTCTTTTTTTAGAAAAATTAATTTATTTTATAAACAAACACATAATATAGAAACAGTTACAGTTTCAGATACTTAAAAAAATATAAAATAATCAGTTTTGTTATTTGATATATTACTTAGTAATAGCGTAATACGTACTATAGCACCACGCAGTACTCTTAGTGTGAGTGAAACATTTATTTGTTTTATCATATATTTATAACTGGAAACGAACTGAAATTTACGCGTGTTTAATATAGCCACAGAAGTCGAATAGTATATGGATATTAATGTTTTATACTCACTTATACATAACTATATACGTACAGTAATAATAATTATGAATGCGAAATTTATATCCCAGAGCTGATAAATCATCCGCCGCTGCTATTTGTGGTCTGTTGATAAATTAGATCTTTACTGAGTTATATATGTTTATTCATTCATTAATCGTCGATATCGTTAACTAAAACATTGATGACGGTCAAACGTGATTTACATAAGTATAAGTGATACCGTGTTTTTGACTTTTAGATAACCGAGACTCTCATCGTAATCTGTAATTCAAAATCATGCTATTTTTATCTACATATAGAGTCTGTATCGATGTACTTCGTATCGAAATTTATCAGATCTTATTTTTCAAGTGTTCAAAAACGTCAAGTGTTTTTTTAAATTTAATGATTTTTTAAGGTCCATATTTTTTTTTAATTAAACAGACCAATATTAATTATCTTTTGGTTGTTTTAGTTTATATTTTATAAAGTATAAAATAACGTAGATATATAATACGCTATACCCATACTTTAAAAATTAATACAAAACATTTATTATAAGTTATAACAATATTTTATATTAATAACGCCTGCAAATTCTAACTTTTTTCACTGGCTATTTTTGAATTTAAAGCGATGCTCAAAATCCTAAATCGTTTACTTTGTGAAAATTTGAGCTAATAGTATTTTCTTATCAGTCTTAGTTGTTATTAATTATCGTGATTAAATACTAATAAAATAAATAGTTTTTGTTATTTTATTATAGGGATTTATATGTGAATCAATTAAACGGGATTAATTAATTAATTTTTATTTTGATAAAAAAATGTAGGTAGTTGATTACATTCATATTTCAAACTCCTCATTTATATGTTTTTTAGGACAAGAATATAATTTCAATAAATTAACTGAAGAAGAGGTAAATTCGTTGGGTCTTCCATACGATTATGATTCCATCATGCACTACGCTAAGAACACGTTTTCAAAGGTAAATTATGAATTTTTTTTATTGTACCTATTTATTATATTAATTATTGTTAAATTTATAATCAAAAAACATTTTATTTAAATTACATATTTAGTATGGCCATATTATAATTTACTCAAATACCTATATTTTTTTCTTAAATTCTTCAAGTAATTAGTAATCTAAAGATTCTTCTGAATTGAAGGGATTGAAAGCGGTATTTTTTTTTTGTCATAGAGTATACAAGTGTATTACAGAAATTTAGTGTTACATTTCTGAAGTAACTAGTAAAGTGATAAGAGTTCTGAAAATAGGATTTGAATATGTTGTAAAATTTAACTGAAATAGAAATTTTAAATTTAAATTTTTTCTTCAAAATTATGACACATTTTTATCTTATATTTTAGATTCTAAGCGAAGCGATATTGGTTTTGAATGATGGTTGTTTTCTTTATTATTTTTTTTTAGCTAAAGAAACTTTTTTTAAAGTTAAACTCTATTTATTTGTATAATTATTTATTAAATTTGTTAAATTTAAAAAATAATATGTTATTTATAGTCATTTTTAATGTCTGACTTTTTCAATTTTTATTTGACTTCCTATGTGTGGTTATTTAAAATTTTGATGAAATTTGTCAAAAATGTTAATTATATATTATATATTTAATATGGAGCATATAATGTAGTGTACTGTTTTAACTTGAAATTGTTTATCATCATATTCAATGATTTATTAATAAATTTAAATCTTACACATCCATTACAATGACCAATTTTATTCAATGAAGATTTACAATTCGATCCTTCTTATTATACGGTATAGGTAGTAGAGCGACTTCTCAAGTTTTTTTTAATATAACTTTTTTAGGGTTTAGGGGCTCAAAATTAATTATAAGTGAGAGTTAATCTCAAACATAATTTTGAATTGATGAAGAATTCAAATCTATTTTTAGAATTCTTATCGCTTAACTAGATTAATAAGTACATGTACAATATATATATTATATTGAGAACAAAGTCAATATAAAAATTAATAACCCTACTTAAAATTTTATTAAATAAAATAAAAATGTATTTGATTTTAAAATATCTTTTAATTTATAGTTATTACTTACCACTTATTAGCTACCATCGTATAATCGTAGTAGATTAATGCTTTTAAAATAATGTTATACAAAGGATTAACACTTAATGAAATTTTTCAAAAATATAATATTAAATAAATTTACTTTTATTCAACGATATATATATAAAATATACTAAATTACTAAGCAATTATAAATTTAGCTTTATGATTAAAACAACGTTTTTTATAAAATATTAATTCCATGTTGGAATTTCGTGAATTTTAAAATATGTTCATAAGTTTAACATATATGAACAGATTTTTACTTCTATTATAATAATACAAATAATTAATTAAATTTATATGCAACCCAATGTGAAAATTATCGTTTTAGTTTTTCACCATCTAAAATGTGTATAATAAATTCAAATCTGAAACGAAAACATTGTACCTATTTGTGGAAACATGTTACTACATTATTTAATATGAATCGAAAATAATCTCATAATCAATAAATATTTATTTTGTCTATGACTCTTAAACAATGGCGTGTATTGCAGTTCTGTATGTGTAATTGAATTTTGTAATTTCAAAAGTTTTTTTAATTATAAAATTTAATTTACAGATAACTATTATACAAGTTATTATAAGCAATAAATTAAGGAACATCAAAATTTATCTTATATTTAACCTTTTTAATTATGTTTAAGAAAATTACTCGTACCTGTTATTATAATAATCATAACAATTTATAAATTATTCATCTATTTTTGCAATACTAACATTTCGAATGTATCAAATACGCGTTATTTATACAATTTTTTCTTATTGTTCAGAAGACAATGATATCGATTCTATCACATTTTTGGTTAAATTTTTTGTTCGAGTCTGTTATTATAAGTGTACCTAAAATGACTACTTAATTTACCAGAATAATATATGTTTAGAAACTTGGAACACCGTAGGTATCGACAGCAATAAGTCAATGATCTAGAATTTTAGACAAAATGCCCGTCACCGTCACCTATAAAACAATTCCCTCAACACGAAATGCGTAAACAAAAAATTCATTGCGAGTGTTGAGATCAACTAAAAGGCTAATTAAAATGGCGAGATAGTATTTATCCTATGTGTGAGAATGTATTATACACGAGGCGATGTCCTAAACTCCTAACCAACGAAAACCTTCAGACAAGATTTATTATCTAGGACATATTATATATTATATAGTGCATATTATATTGTATTTTGTATAGGTATTATTCACGAGTATAGTGATAATAGTAAGTAGGTACATTTAAGACGATTTTATTGTATTATCTCCTGAATGTTGATTGATGTGTTCTGCAATATTTGGTCTGTCGTCTCTATTTTTTTAACAATATATATTATATTTACTATATTATGACGTAGGTATGTATAATTATTATATAAAATATACGATATAACAATATCGTAATAATATCGTACCGCGACTTTGCTTGTATTGTGCATATGCCACGAAATATATAACGCAATCATATTATTATTATTATATTATCATAACTAACCGTTACGTGGTTATAATAATAGATCATCGCCGGAGGAGTACATTATAATAATATACATTGTATCCATAAAACATGCCGAATACGCGCGTTTTGCAGCTTTTTCATTGTGTTCATAATATTAATGTATAATAATGTGCAAACTATCCAGCCATCGCGATGGCGTTTTAATTGGTCATACTTAAAATCGTGTCAATTATGGACGTCGCATGTGTATAATATACCTCTACATGTTATATTTTGCATAAATACAGGTATAGGACATCCTGCTGTTACATATACCTATTAATAGTTTATACATGTTAAATAATAGCTACTATATGCGCGATACATTGAACAAAATGATTACCGATAATATTATGATATTAATCTTTTTTGTATGTTATATAATTTTATTTATATATTATTGTAATGAATATATTATAATTGTCAACGCTAGGTTTCATGCAATGATTCAATTAATTCCTATATTAATATTGATGTTATGATAAAATATTTGTACATTTTCTTTAAAAACTCTGAAATACGTGTTGCTGTTTGATTTTTTAGAATAATCGGAAATTCCTGTTACTTGTTCATCAAAACAACACTGTTTCAAACTATACATACTGTACCGATATCGATATAAAGTAATGTAGATTTTTAACTATCGGAGATAATATTTTTCTGATTATTTTTTTTTTATTATTATCTATTACAAAGTATTTAATTTATAACATTATAACATCAGATGCATTTAATTTTAACATTAATATGTTAAATAAAATATAATAAATTGTTGTCATCTTACCAATTTTCATACTTCCTTTACATGACACAAGTATTTTGACGTTTCGATTACTACTACCACTAAACATTTATATTATACTTAAAACTATTATTTTTGATTTAACAAGGTATATTATTGTATGCTGTTTATACGAAAGAGAAATGTAAAAATATGAGCCCACATAATGTTATAATAATATTATTTAAAAAGTTTAACAGTAATTCAAATATCATTATGAAAAATAATTATACAGGAATGTGGCAGCACAGAAAGTTTTAAATATACCACAAATCGTAGTCGGAGTATTTCCCCGAGGTATTGTTTGATATCATTTGATTATGGATCTACATCGGAAATCCAAGTATAACTAATAAATAACGATGGCTTAGAAGTATTGGTACATAATACAGAGTGATTTACTAAGCACGCGAGCCCTCATATTTTTCTTTCGTATTGAATTTATTCAAATTCTGATTTATGGAACCTTATAAATACCTACTTAAGAGCAGTATTTTCTATAAATTATATTTTTTTTTTACCATTTTATGATTTAAAGAATGTCCTGTTGTGATATTAACTTCTATTTATCAAATGAAAACCAATTTTTTTTTCTGTAAATTGTAAATCATATGACTTGAAAAAATGTTGTGATAATTATCCAAAAGAATAATTTTTGAATAATTTAAATATGTGTTTTAACTTTTAATGATTTAAATATTTTTTTAATTAATATTAATTCATCAACATTTTATAATTCGTATGAATTGTCAATGTATATTAAATACTAGAAGTCCTGATTCAATATTACATTTATTTTATATTTTTGTAAAACCATTTTTAAGAATATCGTCCATGATATGCATGTATATTATTATTTATTAACAGATTACTCGTTCAAATTTTAATTTGAGTACATCTGTGTTTTCAAAAAAAAAAAAATAAATGCCAAATAATTTATAATAAAAATATTAGTTCTCATTAAAAAAAAAGAAAGTTTTTATCTCTACAAATCTAAATAATTGAATATATATGGTTCTTAAGTATACTTAGACATTATTAAAATCGCAATTTCCATAAATTCATTTTTAAATAAATAATAGGGGTTCATGCCTAGTGAATCACTCTGTATGTATACTCGCTGCTGTAGTAGTACATAAGAAATACTATATTTTACTCTGGTTAGTCGTGCCTGCTAAACTATTTGTGCAGTGATTATATGATTAAACCATCGCCGATTTTTGTTCGTCGACGGACTTATTCCCTCACAGCAACACCTTTTAGAATAAATTTGTGGCCGACAGACCGTTATAATACAAGAAATTTTAATTAACCGTATTAATGTATTATAATTATCTTATTCGTAATCGCACATTCGCGCGGGTGATTTTAAGTTACGTAATATACGCGTGTAACGATTAAATTAAGATACGTTCGAATTCGCTGTTCAAATTAAACGGAAAGTGTACAACACTATATACTCACTACTCAGTGAATGCTTATTACTTATTAGTCATTAATAATATTGTACAACTACAATACCACATATTCATATTATTATGGGTTAAGATACTAAAATCTGTATTACGTTGTGTTTAGCCAAACTGTAGACAGTTATTTTCTATTGTTTTCTGTATGTTATTTCTATTATTATTATTATTATTATTATTATAATAAATATTGTCAAACGTGAAATATTACAATATTGCCGTTTTTTCGCAGTCATCACGTCCAATAAAAAAATGTATTTTTTTTATTAAATTACATTGATACTTACATACCTATATCAATTTTTTTCTTCTTATTGTTTGAATTTTTATTTATGATTTCAAAGTATTGAATTTAGTACATCAAATATATAAAATAACACGCACTATATTGTTAAACATTTCAAGTTTTGAAGACAGAACGTTTACACGCTGATAACATTTTATTTAGCTTTCATGTAGTGTTTTAACAACACGTATATTTTATCGATATTTGCAAAACATCAATAAAATTTATTCCAATAGACGCAAATTTATATTATATTGTATTTCATAGTAAAATAAATAGTTATAATAATATAATACGTCGTGGAATATAATTAATAGATAAATAGTAAATTATTTTGTGGATTTAAACTATAAACTGTGAAACCTACCCTAATGAGCTCCTTCAAATAGTGAACGTTTTTCGGAAATAATCTAAACATGTTGTACAAATTAAATCTCCTCAATAGCGGACATCTTCAAATATCAAATAGCGAACACAATATTAGCGACTGAAAATGTTCGGGTAGGTTAGATTAGGTTAATTTATTTAGGCTGTACTGTATTATTATTGAATTTTAATTATTCATGTGTATTTTTTTTCACATTTTATCATTATAAAAAATGCTTTGATCGTCGCATCAATAACACTAAATAAATTATATTCCTAAAGATAAAACATTCTATACTGTTACGTTACTACATCCATATTATTGCACTTGGTTAAAATAATATTAATTATCGTTGAAATACATTTCAAAGTTTAATCGCTATACATAGCACATTTATTTAAACGATTATTTCTAATTACATAATATATACTTCACGTTAATTAAACACGGTTGTTTAATATTCGAATTATACACCCTGGCGCATTGATCACTAAAACGGAATTCTACTTTTCGGGAAAACCGATCCCAAAACAAAATGTCCAGAATATTTGTCCGTGAGTGAAACAAAAGTTCATTAAAATTATTTCGGATATATCAAACATCTAAAATTATATTACATTTCTAAATTATAAGATAACATACATTCCAAGTATATTAATATTAGTTTCTACGATGGCTTTAAATATTCAACAATGTATAAACCAAATAATACCAACCGAAATTGTTATTAATCACGTAAATTGCAATAATATGTGTACGAGACAATCACAATAATTTAATGCGCTGTTGTACTCGGAATGGTCTCCGTGTATATAATAATGACCCAAAATGACTTAATAATAATGTAATGCGTGGAAGCTTAAAACATTCGAAAATCGACGGAAACCATAAATCATTTCGGAATCTGGCTTAACAATCGTCTACTCAAACAATCAACTATTACCACAATACATGTTAACCACCGCGTATACAGTGTACACATACACGCACAAGTAGAGTGTGTCAAAAAGTTTTGTCGTTTTCTCATAAATGCGACTAACGTTTACAATCATCGGCTTTAGCGGTATAAACTGTAAAATATGCTGTCATAACGATAAAATATAAGGCACTACAAGATTTGAAATCGAATTAAATAACGAACAGTTAGCCTAAAACCGCTCTAGTTGTCTAACCGTCAACTGTGATGTAACGTATCTTAACTTGGAATCCCTCACATATATAGGTATAATATTATATTTGATATAACTGTGACATGGAGTAAACCGTCGTCTATTGGTTTCTTGCGATATACCAATGCGCTTTTAATATACTTGGCAAAACTGTAATGTACTCAAAAATCTTTAAGAATTAACTTACACCATATAAAATATATTTGTTTATTTTGTTCATTATTGATACAATAATATTTTATCTATTGAAATTTAATGCGATATCGTAAATCAAAACCTCAGTCAAAATGCCGATTTCGTATTAAAAGAAAAATATCTAACTCAATAAATTATTGTTAGCACATGTCACCGCGATAAATGATTGAGTTCTATGCTTTCGGCACATCAACGTCAAAGGGGTTTTGAATAGGCAATTTTAACAAGTTTAGGAAAAAATTATAACTTATATAATTTCAAAACGATTGCCAAATAGTACCGTGTAAATTACATCAATATGAGCTGTTTTATTATTTTAAATAAATAACCTCTTAAAATGTATTTTGTGAATACCAATATGAGGTACCTAATACTCGTATATTTTATAAAATTTACTATTGACAATATTATGACGACTCAAGCAAACACTATCTGCGATAATTTTTTTTTTTTCGTTGAAATCCAAACTCAATTATTTTATATTACAGTTGTATTAAAGCGGAAAACTGTGTATAAATCATGTATTCATTTTAAAATTATTATTATGGCATTCATGCCACCATACATTTTTAAATACTGAATATTGTGCGACAGTCATATACTTGTATTTCAGTACTTTTTTTCACTCGCAGTAGATCAAAATATCACTAACACCATTGATTATATTTTTCATTTAATCAATGTGGCTAGGACGTGAACGTTTATTATAATATTATGCTTATCCAAATCGTTAGGAACCGAACGACTACACGTCATATTATCACCACCGTTATTAATGGTGCTGTGCGATATTATTCTGTTATAACACATGTGTATGCGACGTAACTAGAGGTTCATCGCGGGTGCTAAATCTATTGCATATAATAAATTTTTATATTGTTTCAGTATCCGTACATCTGTCACTTTTTATGGGCGTCCGCATGTGCGTTTCGAAAAGGGACCGATACGGAAGGTATAAATCGCGCAAAGAGGGACAGTGAGTCCGGTTTTTCGAAACAAAAAACAAAATAAAACAAATAATAATACTATTTTAATAAAAAAAAAAAAAAAAAAAAAAAACATTAACTGGCGGAGAGAAAGGGTATACTGCTAAGTGTAAAATCAGCGTTTTTGCATTTAATGTCTATGCACGAGTTCGGAACGATATTCACCGTCGTCGCATCTACATGTTATAAAATAATACATCCGTTTAATGGTGGTCGATTGCGAAAAATAAAAAATTAATTTACAAGCACGTGAAAATTACAATCGACACAATCTCACAGTTGTAAATAAATATGTGACAGTAAATATCCGTAAATATAAACAATATGCGTCGTCGTGTGTTTGTCCTCGCATATTATACTTCAGTTATATAATTAATATTATAAATCGTTATGTTCACCATTACTCGACCAATATTTTGGTCTTAGTCGTAGTTTAAAGTTTGTAAGCGTTTTAGAACAGTTCAAACAAATCAACTATAAATTTTAATTAAAATTAAAGTCTTTGACAGAGAGGATGGTGGTTAAATGTTGTATGAGAGGTCACTGTGACGTTAGTAAATATCCATAAAAGCGATCGAAAAGAACCTTACACGTACTATTGTTGACTTGGGTTTTGGGTCTTACTTGCTATCTCAGTTTCATCTTGATAGTGTCATGCTATATTTTCCAATTATACCATTTCAGATGATTTTAATTTTACACTTGACTTACTTTTTAAAAAGATATATTATGTTGAATTATACATGAGTAAACTTGTTGATTTTTTTTCTTAGTTTTCAAAAAAAAAAATTTTTGATGGACATACTAAAAATTGATATTTTTTTTGTTAAGATATTAGATATTATTAATAAATTTAAAAATATCCAAACAAATTGAATACCACCCAACCTAATATATGTCTATGGGGAAAATTATATTCATTGAAATTGACACTATGAAAATGATCTATTTTATGATTATTGAAAATAGTACTTAATATCCATTATACAAATATTGTATATAATAATCTTTTTTTTGTATACATTTATAATTATTATACTGTTAATTTTGTATGTATTAAAGAAAAACATTTATTTTCAAATGAACTTTTTAGTTGGTATACCTTTATGATTGAAAAGCATCTACGCACAAACTTTAATATCGTACTACGGTTTTGTCTACGTTAATTTAATAAAATCGTTTAAGCGTAATGTGACTTTATACCAATTTAATTTTGCAACAAAAGCACAAACAGTAGGTATATGTATTATCATGAATTTTTTATTACACATCAGATTATGTGTATTTAACATTTTAGAATAGTGTAGATTCAGACGTCTTATCAAATTCGATTACAATATAACCTATTATATACATTTTATCCACTGATAGATACAAATCAAATCTTTTATTTATTTATATTCATTCGCCAAATCGTACTTATAATATATACGTATAGAAACAGTCGACGGGAAAATAGTTAAGCGCCGTTCCTCGTAGTTTTAGAGTGAATTCTTTCTTGTATTCATTAAATATTAGTGACTTAAAAGCATCGTACGAATTCATAATGCTGTAGTCATAGTCGCAGGGAGGGATTTTTTTTTTTTTACCAATATAATCTCATTGTACTTAAAAATCTTTTTCGTATTTTAACTTTTAAACCATTATATTTGTTGTGTGCGCGTTATAGTTAAGCGGTGAAATGTTCGATTGAGAAGCTTATTGTTGGAAAGCATAATATATTATATTTTATACAGTATAAAATAAATGTTTGACGATAATAACGCATCTTTCGGTCGGCCAAGAGCCATCCTACATAAAATATGTATGATTACTGTACATTGTGTTCTTAACTTATTTGCAGGGATCGTATTTAGAGACAATACATCCAATCGATGCGGTAAGAAATTTGAAGAAACGGCCAGAGATCGGACAACGTGTCCGTCTCAGTGAAGGAGATATAGCCCAGACGAAGCTTTTGTATAAATGTTACAGTGAGTAAAACAATATATGATTTGATCAATATATCGCTAACTTCCTACTTGAAACATAATATGTAGTATAGGCAACTGATTTTACATCTATGACTCGTTTAAAATGTGGATACATACAAGCACATAATTCAAAAACCGTTATTTCACGATTGGTTATAACTGATAACATTATGAAAATACTTTTTGCACATCATTTAATTTTGCCGGTTGAATTGATTTTAATGAATTTTAAAAAGACTAATAACATCCAATCGAGATAGTAAATAATATTATACAAATATTAATATTTTATTCAAACCATATAGTTTTACGTCATAATATAATATTTATTGTGTACTGATTAAAAAAAAAAAAAAAAAAAAAAAACTATTACATTTTTAACGTTTATTTGAAATATGCACAATAAATTAGATTTAAAAATAAATCACTACTCAGCAATTAAACTTTTCAACTTTTCTATTTTTTTCGTTCCTTTTTTATCAATAATAATTATTTAGCATTAAATATCCCTATACTGGCAGTTAATGTCATTTAGGAGAAAATTCAGCAATAATAATGTCTAAATATACACTTTTAATATGAGAATTTCCATAATCATAATATCATTAGATGTTATTTGTAGTAAGTAATTTTATATGATATTCTGGTAGTTTTAGAGATTGTATTGATGTGAAGCTCTAATTGTGTATAATGTGTACAGTAAGTATAGGTTGCATACATCTTTAAAGATCCAAGCCATTATTATTATTATTTATTACAATAACTAAAATTGGATGAATTAGAATATGCTCAGATCTTACAAAAAATACTATGTAATTAGTGATACTTTCATATCTGTACCAACCGCTTGTCGATGTACTTAAAAAATGAGTATAATAAGTTCTAAGAAGTAATATAAAGTTCAATTTTCTAGCTTTTATAAAGAATAGTTTTGCTGCAACGTCAAGTATTTTTATAATAAGTTTATTATTCAATCAAGAATTTAAAGAAACATTATATATTGTAATATAAATTACTGTTTTCAATATTTAATAATGTTACGCTTGCTGACTATTGTCAATTAAATATTAATTAATGTTTAAAATGTAATCAAAAATATTTGATGTTACTGCTCTTAGAGTTTTAAATTAACGTACGTCTCAGTTATAGGTGCACTATTTTTGAAGAAAGACATAAAGGGTATTTTTAATTATAATGATAGACGTTTTTCAGGAAGGATAACAATTCTTTAAAACGGCTTTACGAGGTATAAATTCTTTACACATATTACTTGTTATTGTTTTTAAGGGTGTGGAAAGACCTTGCAGGAAAACAGCGGCATTTTTGGTTATTCACCCGAACCTGGACAGGAGTATGGAGACAGATGCGAATGGCGTATCACGGCCACGCATGGCGAACGTATAGTGTTGAACATCACTGAGCTTGACGTATTGAAATCAGACCAATGTAGTACTGATTATTTAGAAATCCGTGATGGATACTGGCACAAATCTCCACTGCTTGGTAAATATTAATTATTATAAGTACCTATTATGGTTAATGATTATCTATCAATTTATATTATGTGAATTATGTTAAATTATATTATGTTATGAAAATAATATTACAGCGAGCTTTCATAAAATGATAAACGTGATGTAACCTTTACTATATCTTATTCATCATGTGTGGTAATAAAAATAATGAGTGTATGAATGTATAATTATTGTGACATATTATTTTAAAAGTTTCATTGTTTCCAGTGAAAACGGTAGTTTTTTTCCACTCCAATTACAAAAGTTCTCGCAAAAAACAGTACTTAAAACACTAAAAGAAAAAAGGAAATTGAGTTTTTTTTTCAAATTCATAGAATCAGGTGTAGAAATAAAAAAAAATATATATATATAAGTGCTCTACTATGATAATATATAGTGGCTACTACAACAGTAGGTACCATTTTGGAACTTTATATTTGTTTATTAGGATAATTATTAATCTTAGTTATTTTTATTCACGATACATATATTTTATAAACTAAAAGCATTCTATGCTGAGTAAATAAAACCGTACAGTAAATATTTCTTCTTTGATAAAATGTTTCTTTAAAAAAAAATTTTTAATTACCGCTATAATTCAAAGTACTTTACCTGGACGATAATTAAATATAAGTTTTAATTTTCAATGTTAAATACACGTATAATATTTTAGAGCCAAAAAATCATTTTTTAAATATAACTACACATTATTTTTAGAATAGATATATATATTTTTTTTTAAATTGTGATTTTATTTTTATTCACTGAAATAAAATATAAATTTCGCAATTTCAATTACTTAGATCAGAAAATAAAATAATTATAATAAACTATGTTTTTCTAATAATTTTTACTAATTTGAAATGTTTTAATTAAACAATTAAATGTTCTAATAATAATTATAAACGTTTTTTAGTTATCATTTTTCAATTTAATTTTTAGGTTTACACACTCAGACTTTGTTAAAATTGTATAAGTACTCACTACTTAAATTTATGTTTTTATATAATTATGCGTTTAATAAACATATAGGTAAATATACTATATTCAACCTATTACAACTAATAATCTTTTAGTTTTTCATTTATTTATTTTTCTACATTAAATATATTTCATTGAAAAATAATCATAGGACACAATAACAACAATACTGAAACAATATTTGATATTTTTTAAATTGTTTTGAGAAGTTTTTTTAAAATTTAAAATTGGTAATATTAATAATAAAAAGTGCTCATAATATAACATTTTTGACCTCGTCTATAAAATAAACATTATTATACTAAATTATACCTCATTCTTATTAATAAACGATAAATTTTTTCGGATATTAAATCAAACTCTTAAGATTTATAAATTGTTTTTTAATTTTAAGCAACTAATCCAGGAAAAATGAAATTGCTATGCGAGTGTATAATAAATAAATACCCGCAACGCTAAAATTTTAATGTTTTTTATATGGAAAATACATTTCATATTAACAAAAAGGTAAATATATTGGTTAAGAAAATAGTTATAAATTTACTATAACTTACTACTATTTAGTTTTAACTGTGTATAATAATTATTAAAAAATAATTGTTGATCGTCTGTTAATATAGGCAGGTTTTGCGGGAGTGTTCGTATCCAAGACCTCATAGTGACTGGCAACAGCAGAATGCTCATCAGTTTTATGATGTCTGACAAAGGTACAAAATACAAAGGATTCACGGCGAATTATGAAGGTTAGTGATTACAATGTTTTATTGGTTATCAATATTATCATCATTTTCAGATTCGACTAAAATTATCGTGATTAATCTTATCATCATAAAAAATATTTATGCTCTAGGTATAAACATAAGTATAATATATATTATATACACATTTATAGTTACAATGACCAACGTTTTTACTGAAAAAATCTTATAAAATGCTATAAATAACCAGCTAGTTCTTTTTTAGTTTTCAGTCGAAATGGAAGTTTTATTAACACTCTGGAATAATAAAACATATATTTCCACGTAGACTCCTCGAAAGTTACCTTTCAACTAAAACAACGAAGCTGGTCTAACTTGTCTTTTATACTGCAAGATCATTAACTGTAAATCGGTATACACTAACGATGAGTGATGCTTTCTTAATATTCCGTGATCATTTGTGTTATTGATTTTACATGTCTATAAAGTCATCTATTGTGATATTATTATAATCATCTTATGTGTAAAGCTTGTAATTGTATTGTTCAAAAATAAAGCTATTCATAACTATATTATGGATTATATGAATATGTTATGTCAAAAAAATGTCATAATAATAAAAAATTGCTTTTATATATGTCCATAATGGATCATGTATGGTGCAGGTTGATATTAAAAACCTTTTCTTTTTCATTTTCAGCCATTTGTGGAGGAGAAGTCATGGTGACTGATGAACAAGGACACTTAGAATCCCCTAATTTTCCAGATGATTATTTACCGAATAAAGAGTGTGTTTGGAAACTTACAGCACCAGAGGGATATCAAGTTGGATTGAAATTTAACGTATTCGAGGTATATTTTTATATTTTAATTCCCATAAAAATAATTTATTTTTATTCCAGAGAAGTGTCCTTATTGTCCAAGAAAAATTAAAAAAAATATTTATTTCAAAAACTTTTCGATGAAATTAGTATAATGTAGTACATATTATATAAAAATATTTATTATTATTGTAGCTGAGTAAAAACTTGTTGTACAATAAATAATTTAATATTATCAAATGTATGAAAACTAGCAAATTATAGAAAAAAAAAAATAGTCATTAAATATGTATAAAGTAAAAAAAATCAAATTTCAGTATTTAATATTTTTTGAAGCCAAAAATATATTTTGTTTAAAATAATTATAATATGATAAAAAAAAAAAATCAACATTAACAGAAACTTAATTCACTAAGAAAAGACTTCTATTATAATATTATTATTACACTAAACATGAAGCAAATTATTTTTCCATAAGTTGTGATACCTGGTACATTTAAACTGATTTTTGAAAGTAATTGAGGAGATTCAATATGGCTTTTTAAAAGATCATATGTAAACACAACACTGACATCTTTCCTCCTTAACTCAGATAATAAAATAATGATTTCTACTTAGGAAACTTTTAGGTTATACTACTTCTGGAAATTGGCAATTTTAGTTTAAAATAAATCATTTTATCGTATATTTTTAATATAATTTAGATTATTAAATTAAATTCAAGGTTGAATCTAACGCGAGAAAGTATAATTCAAAATTTTAATATTTTTAAAACATTAAAACACAATTTTATATGATAAGATATTTTAACATGTAAAAGTTATAATAATATTATTAATATTAAACATATTGCATTTTTATAGTAAGGAATTTTAATGTTCCATAATTAAAAAGTATGTATAAATTAATTAGACATTTTTTTTTTTTATTACGTAATAAAATTGTCCCTTGATTTTTTTATGGAATCCATGTGTTTCATATCAATCTTCTTTTATTATATAACACACTTGTCGGTAAATTTAAAATAAAATTATGTGATCTATTCAAAATATTTATACACCTGCAGTATAACATAGCATATGTGTGTGTACGTATATTCGTATTTCCAGTGTATTGTTATCATGTTTTATTCCATCGTTCCGTGAATTTATTGTTCGGCTAGTAAATTAGTAAATCGTTGAATATTTTTTCTCCGATAAACTAACGAATATACTTAACGGGTTCACATAAAACATCGATTTTTTATTCGCAATCAATAGGTATCAACTATAGTTTCGTATTATAATATAATTTAGATTTCGTATACATAAATAAACTGATGTGTGGGCGTGAACTTATTCGCTGATTGAATGAATGTTTATGCCATATTATGATGCATTATTAACAGGCATCTCTTGTTCGCGCATGGTTGGAGTCATAATAGCATATTATGATATTAATTTGACGGGATCAATCATATTATTACTATTATTATATATATAAACATGTGAATGTGTATATAATTTTGTTTTAATCCAACGCAGATCGAAAACCACGACAATTGCTTCTATGATTACGTGGAGATTAGAAATGGGCACTCGGCCGACAGCCCTTTGATAAACAAGTATTGTGGTTACAAGCTACCCTTGGACGTTCACTCTAGCACAAATAAGCTGTACGTCAAATTTCTATCGGACAGCTCCGTGCAGAAGGCCGGATTTTCCGCCACATTTATGAAAGGTATACAGTAAATATAATATATTCATGTTCGTCAGTAGGAATTTATTCCTTTTTTTTTTTTTTTGTTCAAACGGTTTGTTAATACCTATAATTGAGTTAAAAAAATAAAATTTAAATGTGTCTCTGCTGCACTTTGTATACATATGCGTATTGTACTCGTATACATTACGATACCTACACTATATACTTAAAAATTACGATCTCGCATCCAAATAGAAGTACCATCTACTATTTTGAATAGATTAATGCTAAATTAAAAAATAAACTAGGATTTGGGTGGGATGGCCCAAATGGATGTACGTCAATTTATCGTGGTCGCAATTAATCACACGTAAATTTATGGCAAAATTTCATCAAATATTTATTTATTTAAATAATCAAAAAACCATTAATCACAATAAATATAATATGTAGTTTACATAATATACAGTATTTACAAAATTTACAATTGCAATTGAAAATTATGAGCAACACATTAGAATACTGAACAGTGTGAATTGTATAAAATTGGTAAAATAATAATGAAGAACTAGATAATGTGCCATCACAAAACCAATTGTCGCATTTTGCTATAAACATATAAGACTCGATAAACATGTTGTTTAAAAAATTTAAATTCGTTTAGTATTAATACCACTATCATATTGCAAAAAAAATTTTCCATCTGTGGTTTTTGTCATTTTGTCAGATGATAAAATTTAAGTCGGTTGGGCCATTGTGCAACTGTAACGTTTGCTTACTTATGTATACGTTGAATAGTAGGTACGTTTTAATCTATTTATAATAGGTAACTTCCCAGGCGATTCAATAAGGATTTGATTATGTAAGTGCTAAACTTATTACCAATTACTGGCTATATCTGATAGATTATTAAGTGTTTTTTTACCTCAACGTCTGATAAACTCGGAACATGATTATGGTCAGTATTTTTTATTATTTTTCCTTCACATAGGTGAAGTCATCCGGAACATTTCTTTTTAAAATATTGATTAAATTTCCACGTGGATTTTGTATAATTTTCCTTTTCTTTTGAAAAAATATAGCCATCGTAGCAAAGCATGTCTTTCTCTTCTCAATTTTTAGTATTTGAAAATCTATAATAAAATAATTTTATTAAAAAACAAACAATAATAAATGAGCTTACTCGATAAATACAACGACGGTTATCAATTAAAATAACGATTTGACGATTGTCATAAGACTGAAACTAATATTGACAGAGTTCAGAAATTATAAAATACGATAATGCGCAATAAATTGTCGCGCGATTAACTTATAACGCGATTAATTGACGTTGCGATAAAATGACCACGGTGAATTGACGCACGATGCATTTAGCCGCGATGAATTGACGTGATGCCAGCCCAAGTACGGTCCCACGAGTGCTTGCGTTTTATAAAAAAATATAGTTATAGCTGTAAATCATTACATCCGTTAAAACGATTTTGATCATTAGTTATTTTTTTTTATATATATATATATATATCTACTGGAAAAAAAGTTACTACCAATAAATTAGAAAAATCATCACACTAAAAACATTTGCGCTTGATCTCTTATATATATATTAAATCAACATAATATATCTTTACATTTGTCTATCTATCTATGTGTCTAGATATAAAATGAATAGTACCTTAAACCCTTTAAGATCTTTTTCTGTTCAAAAATTCGTTTTCTGAAGAGAAACGTATACCAACATTGAAAAACCAATAACAAAAAACGGAAATTGAGTTTCGGCAGATAATATTTTATATTTGTAAGCCGAATAGGATAGTATACTTGTCTATTTTGTTAAAACCTTTATGGTTAACCAAAAGTCACAATTTCTCAATACTTACTTTCTTGATTTTTCCTTTCTTATTCTAACTCTAATTCCTGTAATGCACAGGTAGTATTAATTATATTCATAATATCTAATATTATAAAATTATTTATCTAAAAATAACTGTATTATTTACCATATTTCAATATTTATATTTTATCGTTCAAAACTTATTGGTAGCCTATTTAAAATATTAAAAATTTTCCCACGTAATAATATTGTTTTTAATTTAACGTCAATGTTTATATTTTAGTTTCTGTCAACTCTATCAAACATTGCATTAAACATTTTTATTTCACAAACATTAATCTTATTGAAAACACATTCATTTTTGATTTTGATTTTATTCTTATTTTTTCTTACACTTAATTTAAATTTAAAACATTATAATTAAGTGATTAACACATTTTGAACTACAATTTAATAAAGTACTATATATTATTTAATGTTATTTTAGTAAATTCTATATCCTTTATTTAGTTATTATTTCAGACAAAATATAAAATAATTGTCAAAATATAATTTTCATTGCTATAGTGTTATTAATATTAACTTGACTTTAATCAATAATAAAATGTAATTATTTAGCTTTCAGCGATTATGTATTAATTTAATCATTATAAATACTAATAGTCATATTCTATAATGCATGGTATAATTTATAAGTATGTATACAAAATGGATCAAGTATATTATATAATTTTAATGCTTCACTTAAGTATTACGTCAAGACTTAAAGAGAAAAATGTAATTAGCTATTAATTTTAAATTAGTCGCCTTGTATGGTTAAGCTTAAAAGTGTTATCTTTATTCATTTATGTATCATTAACGTGATAAACGATAACATATATTTATCGTTCGTCATTAGTAGAGAGAAATAAAAAAACTCTACAACCATAACATTATTATTTTCTTTGTGAAACACTTTATTATAATAAATGTTTAACAAATATTTCGAAATGATAATATTAAAAAAAAACAACGTGTTTTGATTTCATTCGTAAATTAAAATATATTTCATTATAGCAAAACACAAAAACAATAAAAACACAATCACATAATGTTTTACTAAAATAAACATTACGTAATATATATATATTATTATATTTCTCGTGGGAATAATAGTAATTTGACTGATTCGTCGACACTCATACGTTGTTTTTTTGTACGCGCAAACACATATCTATATTTTGCATACACATATATGGTACTGCAGTGACGTAACGTTTCGTATGTGTAAATGTTTTTTTAGAAATTATTAAAGTTTTTTCAATCATCAGTTTCGAGGATATATTAGCTTACGAGTTACGATAGGCTTAACATCATAGGATTAATGTTATATTAAAATATAAGTAATATTTTTTTTCAAGTGAGAGATTATAAATTTGACATTTGAAAAAAAAAACCAATAGCTTTATACATATTGTCTGGAATCTGGAATTCATTTCAGACCTCCGTGAAATTCCAATAATTTTATGCTTAATTGCAATTTTACTATTGTATATTAAGCATGATGTAATTTTAGTAATTTCTTTTCTGATCCTATTTAGAGCGAATTTTTGTAACATTGTGACATCCAGTATTTCATAAATCAATATAATATCGATCTATAGATATATTTATATTTTATTTTTATGTACATTAAAAACGTTTATTGATTCTCTATTGTTGTCAGTCTATTGTCTTTCGATTTTCGAAATTTTATGACAGCCTTTTCAATCACTGTTAAACTGCTTAACTAATTTAATAACGATTTTATATTCGCTTATACTGTCCTATTTGTTGCAGAATACGATGAATGCACTTCAGTGGATCACGGATGCGAGCAGTTTTGCATCAACACACTAGGTGGATACGATTGCGCCTGCAAAGTAGGCTTTGAGCTACATTCAGACAACAAACATTGCGAAGGTAAGAATTTTAATTTATTATTATTACAAACGAAGAATGATATTTTATACTACATTATTTTGTATTCCTAAATAATATTTTATTCTCAATATTTACCTGTGAGCCGTTCGATTGAATACCATGAAAAACAAAATTTCAATAACGAACGTTACGTCTATAATATTATACATGTATTACCAGTCGAAGTGTAGGTAAGCTATCCGGATTTATTTTTTCAATACCATTTTATTTTTACGATTATTTTCCCACGTTCTGATCATTTAAAAAAACAGTGTTTATCCACTTTGTGCGTGTCTGTGAGTGGGTGAGTGGAAAGAAATCGTGCATACAATTTTGGAATAGATTCGATATTCCCTTGACGATTTGCGACAGACATCATTTGTGACTATTACATTGTGAATGCTACAGAATCTAAATTTATAATTCACCTTCTATTCCATGATAAACAATTTTACCAGTTCGTTTTAGCATCAACTTTGACAATTATGCAGATTTTGGGTTCATCGTTATCTCAACTTTTCTTTGTAAACTTTTTTTTTGTCGTAACTTAATTGTTATTTCTGCTACTATTTTCACCCAAGTCCTAAATTATCTTTAAGCTTTAATTTGAGATCTTTTTAATATTATATATAGAATGTATGTAACATATATTATATGCAAAATATAGTATCAGAACAATTTTTAGCTTATTAGTATTTCGAAGAAAATTAGTTAATTATTTTGTTAAATATTAAAACGGGCGAAAAAAGTCTAAATCAGTGTAAAACATTATGGCAGTCATAATTAATTTTTACGAGGTTGATTTTAAAGTTTAAATAAAATTCGCTTTCTAATTTAATTCGTTCGGTTACCCTCGTCTTCATAATTTAAGTTAATTAAGTTTTAAAAACATATAACAAAAATTAAAAAAGATTTGTTTTTCTAAATAACACGTAATTTTTACATTATTGTTCCAAAATAATATTGTTAATCAAGTATACTAATATTTATACTAATTAATATTTAATCAACGATAATATCATATTTTTATTTTGTTACACCATCAGTACTAGTAATGTTTGTCCATTCAATTTTTTTTTAAATTATGATAAAAATAAATTAGAAATTATATAGAAATACGATGGGGAGAGGGGGTTATCGACAAGGGGCTTAAATGAAAACTTCATATCATATAATACATAAATAATAAATATAATTAATCATTATCCATTATGAAATAGTCATCAAGAGAGCGGCGTTCTGATTATGCAATATGACAGCATATGAGCGTAGAATGACGTTCGGACATTCGATTTTGATCGGGCAGTAACGATATTGTGGTTTACGGCATTGTATCAATGCGTGTCACATTTACACGAATTTATATTATAAAGGCAGTAATATAATTATTAATTAGTAATATATATATATATATACCAGCTATCGTTCCGGTAATATTTGTTGTCACTATTTTCGGAATCTTCATGGTTTTTACGTATATTTAAATTTAGAAAAATGACTTGATCATCTAAACTGAGATGATTCATCGAAAACTTCAAAATGTGATCGCGAGTAGAAAATTGCAAAAATTAAATTAGGAGTAGAACATTGTGTTTTTAGTCACTGAAAATTAATTAAAATTTAAGTATAATATGATCTATTATATATTCGATATTTAAATCAATTAAACTCTACATAAAAAATATATTATGAACTATTTTCGATTGGTTTTTCAAAAAAAAAAATATATATATTTTAACTTAATCTGGAAGTAACATATAAAATACTCGTGTTATAGTACATTTAATGTAAAAATTCTTAACCAAAAAATTTATTATTGAACTGAAACGCTTCAGACGAGTAAAATATAATACAATATTAAGTCATACACAATATAATTAATAAATAACTTAAAATTATTTCAATTTTTACAATATTTGTGTGATGAAAATTTTAAATAAAAATAAAAATGATTATTCATAGCATAAAACTATATAAACTTCACATACACACACACACACACGCATATGTTTTAAAAACTTTATCATAGTGCGATATTATTAAAAAAACAGATTTAAACTTTTATTGAAAAATAAAATCACAACTTGCTGCATGTCAAACATATTTAGTATAATCCTGCAAATAATAGAACTTCTACGTCTTACAATAATGTAAAAATAAAAAAAAAATAGAAGAGGTAAATGTATATTGCAGAGCATATAACAAGTCACCTATATCTTTTTGAATATAATGTACGGTTTATATTGGTTTTGTTTATTTTTTATGTATATTAATGTTTATGTGTTAATATTAAACACGGTTTAATCACTAATTCAAATTAAAAGTGTAATAAAACAACCTTAAACAATATCCTGTTATAAATTTTAATTTTGTATTTTATTAAAATGTTTTTATTTTTCCCAAGTTCATTTGAGACATTAAGTTAAAGCTAATAAAATAAATGAACATAAAATGGTTTATTTATTTCAGTAATTGTTAGTATGAAATTAATTTACTTAAACTTGAGTAAGATTAACGGCAGTAACTTTAAATTGATGATTTTTTTTTTTTTTTTTTTTTTCATAAAATATACTGCACTAACACGCAATAATTGCGTTAAGCCATCCCCCAAGAATGATTTAGATTAATATATTACGTTGGAAAACTTTATACATCAATTATATATTTTATTATATCTGTATTAATTGTTCTTAATAAAAATATCTGTTAGTTAAAAAAAAAAAGTATTTACATTCACAAATTTTGAATAAAGTTATTCGATTATTATTAGATTATGGTAAAAACCACTGATCCTTACAGATATTTGTATGTATAATACAAATATATTATAGATTATGATAATTACCATAATATTTTAAAATGACTAATTTTCAAAAAGTTTTTTTCTATAGAAATATTAGATATTAGTAATTTGAATATTAAAATTATTTTTGTTTATCAAGCTTTTGCAGCATTTCACGTTTCAACCCATATAATTTTACCCTAAAGTTACTTAAGATTTCATAAATTTTAATAAATGCAAATGCGTAATCTTTCACTCTTATGTTTTATAATAATCGTACTCTTATCAAAATATTTTTCAGAAATTAAAAATACATTGTTGGTTTAACATGTAAATTCATTTTTTTTTTTTTTTTTTTTTGAGATTATTTAAGTTTTATGTTTTATATGAATATAAATTGAAAACTATATAAAATATTAAATTTTTTATTCGAAAATAGGCACCAGGACATATTTTTTGAAAATGTATAGACAAATTATGTACCATCCGTGTTCAACCAATATAAAATACTATTATATAAAACTGCTTGAACTCTATCAAAAGATAGAAAGAAAAAGTTATAATACAAATGAGAAAAAAACAATACCCCGTGGAGCATTTTAACGGATCTATCGTTAAAATGAATTTTGGTAATTCGGATGACGTTATCACAGAAACAGGTCAAACATGCATTATGTGAGTGGATAGTCGCGAACAGCTATGCAGTTTTCCAACGAATTACGAAGTTGTTTTAATAAACATATCATACTACCACTACACCTCTGTGTAGATTTTGAATTATTGATAAAACGTTATTGATACCTCACAAAATTGAGCAATTTTATAGTATTCTCAAGTCATAAATCCTTAAGAGTTATTAGCTCACACCATTGCGAACTCAAATAAAAACGCAATAGCCAATAACACAATTGAATATTAACTACGTACTTCCATAAATTATTCAAATAATATTTTCTTTTCCAGCAATGTTTTCAACATTAATATTCAACTTTTTTTTTCCTTTATTGTTATATACACAATCTGTACCTCAAGGGTACAATAAAAGTATTGGCTAAAATAAATATTATAATACATGAAAATGTTGATAAAAGCAGTCACCCAGTGATGACACTTTTATATGACACAGATATTTTTTTACTGTTGAAGTAGACGAAACTTGAGTACCAAAGAGAGTGACAATGCCCTAGCTAACAGTGAAAGTTACGTGATTTGATTTAGTTTGATTTACCTTAATCCTCCAATTATTATACCATGGATCCATAAAGGAAAGATGATTTTGAAGATTACGCGATGCTACAATAGGGTTTTCATTTGTAGATATGATAAGTTTATCATCTGCATAGTCTGCCTCTATGGTGTTGGACGAGGTTGGTTGATCTGATGTATATATGTTGTACAGTATTGGGGAAAGTACGCCTCCCTGTGGGACACCAGCTCTGACGTTTGCTATATTGGAATATGCGGATTTAAAATGGACTTAAAAATAACGATCAGTTAGATATGACTTAAGAAGAATCGTTTTTTTTTAATCTTTATATGTGTATATTTCGATTAGATTGGAACATTATATTTTCTGCGTTCACACAGTATTTGCAGGTATATCTATGGATATAATATAAAAATGTTAAGCTAGATATAACAATATATTACCACTGTCCACTGAATAAAAATAACCTTAGCTAACAATACATTTTAAATACACATTATACCTATATGTACTTTTGCGAAATTTTCAATTTTATTATTTTTATAAACGTGTTTTCCATTGAGAGTAATTTTTAAAATGGGTAAAATATCTCCATTTTTATACGCATATAAATTATATACTTCACGCAGTTATTCTTTATTAAAAATTATTTTTTATTATATTTATTTTTATAACAAAATAAAATGCATTGATGACTTAAGTTTTTTCAGCTGATTCGTTCATTGAATTTATATTTCAAATGTAACATATAGAATAATATTATATACACATAGCAATTACGTATATTATAATATCATCTTCATTATTAATTTGTATTTATTAACTAGTAGAATAAATAAATTAATAATTAGTAAATTGTGTATATAGCAGATAATTGTACATTTATATTTTGTGTGATCTGCCGGTGTTATTAATACATAAATATACATATATATATCATGATTATAACTATTTAGTGTTATTATGCAATGCCGATAATAATTATTTATGTTATTATCATTTGTCGCCGCGCAAGTTATTAAAATTAATTTATTGAAAGTGTTGTATAATATTTTTATTGTTGTTCTCGTGAAATAAATTGTTTTATTTTTATTGGTGTTATTAACCTATGCCTCTCATGTCATTAAAACAATAACCTTGTAATTAAATAATGTTATAACAATAATAATTATTATAATAGAAAAAAAAATGTTATTAATTATTGTCAATATTATTTTAATTTATTTAAATGTACTAAAATGTTAGATCATTAATAAATTAAAGAAATATATTCTGTATATCTGTATAATTATTAGGTATAGTAGAATATTTCAATATAATTTATCATAAATAATAATGCAATGTACATTCGTGATGGCCGTAGTTATAATAAACCAACCTTGAATTTAGAAATCTAAATACTAAACCGCGATGTTATACTATTATATTATACATGTTGTATGAACAGAAAAATTATAACGAACATAATTAATAATGAAAGTACTATGTGTTTTGTTCTCATATTATACATGCGCTATTTTCAGACGCTTGCGGTGGTATAATCGAAGCGACCAATGGCACGATTACAAGTCCTTCGTTTCCAGATCTGTATCCCGGAAATAAAAGTTGCATATGGGAAATAATAGCGCCAGTTCAATTCAAAATCACACTGAACTTTACTCACTTCGACTTGGAAGGGAATAATGTGAGTCAAACTCCATCAAAGTTTATAACGGTTATACGTGTACCACGTAGACTACGTACTTATGTGTTTTTTTTCCATTTTTCAGTTACACCAGGTAAGCGGTAGAGCATAAGAAATAATATTTTATTCAACGGACGGCTGATAAAAATACCACTTTTCTAGTATTGTTTTATATTGTACACTTAACCACATATACCAATATGTATATAGTATATATACAGATGAGTACATAGGATCATCGTTATTCGTTTGGAACGATTGCGTTATATTGTTCCGTAATATTATTAATGAGACGTTTACCTTGTTTTTCCTTCTTCATAGGCTGAATGCGAATACGATCGAGTAGAAGTGTACAGCAAAATTGGTTCGGATAAACTCAGGAAACACGGGGTGTACTGCGGTCAAGAAGCACCATCCATGATAACTTCAGAGGCAAATGCACTGCGCGTGGAATTTGAGTCGGATAGCTCTGTGCACAAGACCGGATTCGCTGCAGTTTTCTTTACTGGTAAGGTGTTGTGCTTATACAAGTATAATTTACTAAGCCAGTAAAATATGTTGAAACGGAAAGTATAAAGCAAGTCTCTCAAAATAAGTATAAGTGTGGGGCACAATAAAGGTCACTAGTTCGGTTTAATGGACACGACAATGTTACACATTAGTATAAAAAAAAAATCTGCTCATATTATACAGTAAAACCTGTCTAATATGGGCCCTTGTTAAGATGGAATCCTGTTCTGTGCGGAAATTTATTTTGGAATTGAAATTTATCATTATTTTGAAATATCTAATAAATACATATTATATGATTTTTAATAAAAATTAAAATTTGTTGTAGCCTATGACATTTATTAATTTTCAATATTTTAATTTTTATTATTGGCCGGGAAATGTTATAACCTTAAATCTTAATCATGCAAAATATTTAACTCCATAGTACGGAATTTTCCTTTTTATTCAGTTACATAAAAACTTACTTAAAACGGAAATTTTCATTGATCCCGTGCAATTCCGCACAAGACAGGTTTTACTGTATACGTTTAAAAATATCGAAATTTCAAACATCTATTTTGCGCATCATAGAAAAATGTAATATGTTTTATATAATACATTGATATATTCTTAAATATTATTCACTTTTACTACTTAAAAGTTAAAACAATGGTTTGTTTTCATATTATATTAATTTAACGACACGTATATTTATGAAAGTCTACTGACTTTTCACATATTACATGCGTAACTGTTTAGTACTTATAATACCGTACGTTTTTATAAACTAACTCCTTTCTTTTTTTGTATTTAATATAAATTAACTATTCAAATTTGATTGTATACACTATACATATAGAACATTTCGTATACGACAAAAATAAAATAAATTCCATGTCGTGATTGTTTAAAAATTGCCCAAGTACAAAATAATATATATCGTATTGAACCGCGTGGACTGTTCTATTCTGTTTTATTCTCAGATATGGACGAGTGTGCCGTCAACAACGGCGGATGCCAACATGAATGCAAAAACACTCCCGGATCATATGAGTGCACGTGCAACAACGGATTCACATTACACGAGAACAAGCACGATTGCAAGGAGGGTGGTTGTAAACATGAGATTTCGGCTCCACGTGACGTCATCACCAGTCCCAACTACCCAGACTCGTATCCAGGTCGAAAGGATTGCGTCTGGCATTTTACCACCACTCCGGGTCACAGGATCAAAGTGGTAACATGATAACTGAAATATAATAATAATAACACCTATGCATATTGTTTCTATATTGTATAACGATTTTTAGGAAATGTGTTTTCCATTATAGGTTAGCTTTTATTATTGACTAACTTACATCTATTTTTCGGTCGACAAAAATCGTTGAATTAAGTTACCACTAGCTACTGAAGATACAACTTTGTTTTATACATTTTAATTATTACTATTCGTTATTCGTTCGTCTGTACTCGGAACACAAAATGTTATAGATTTTCTTTCGAGTAATCATTAGTCGTTCGAAATAGAACGGCATTTATTTCAATACATACATTTTTACATTTACATTTTTCCACGACATTGAATTTGTAATAAACATATATTCTATTATAAAATTAGTACGAATTAACTTTTCGCAAAGAACAATTTCTTTAAACAATTTAAACAAATCTTCCCAATACATAATATAACAGAGAATATAATTGTGTTTGAATAGTATAGATACACTGCAGCTGAAGTGTACGAAGAATAAACAAATTATAGGAACTTGATGATTCACAATATTTTTCATATTTAATGATACACTTATTATTGTAGTTATGTGTATAAGGTCGTCAGTAAACGTGTGCGGATTTTACAGTGTGTATATTTCTGAATCCCGCTGAAAACTGATCATTATTATCGTAATATAGATAAAACGGTCATTATATTATATTTTATTCAATCGTACCGCGTCTTGGTGTATATTTACATTAATAATTATATCATAATTCATAAGTTAGCGTAAAATGGAATAGCATATACTGCTTACTTATACAAGGCGCAGTGTCATCTCGATTTCCGTAATCTTTTGGTGTTGACTAAATACATATAAACATATTATTATGTCTATATTTGTGATGATCATGATGATGACGATGTATGTTATATTTATATTGTAGCTGTTTGACACATTTGAAATGGAACCGCATCAAGAGTGTGCTTATGATCATATTACGTTCTACGACGGGCCCACACCGGATTCGCAGATTCTCGGACGGTTTTGCGGTTCCAAGATCCCGCACCCCATAGTATCCTCGTCCAATCAACTGTACTTGGCCTTCAAAAGCGATGCGTCGGTACAACGCAAAGGATTTTTAGCCACGCACAGCACAGGTAAGACGTTTACGTGAGCAAAATATGCCCAAGGTTATAGATTATATATCTAATATATATATATGTTATAATAAATAATCGCTCACCGTTTTCGCAGTTTGCGGCGGCAGACTAATAGCCACGAACAGCGTGAAACATTTTTACTCGCATTCCAATTATGGCGATCTGAACTACGACAGCGATGCTATGTGCGAATGGACCATCGAAGCCCAAGCCAACATGAATGTGCACTTGACGTTTTTGACTTTCGAGCTGGAAGACGAAAAAGATTGTATGTACGACTACGTAGAAGTGTGGAGCAGCTTGGACACAAGTGGACCATTTTTCGGAAAATTCTGTGGACCAACCGTTAGTATGATACTAAAAACAACGTTTGGCTATAAAACAATAAAATATAATTATTATATCATTCACGATGGTGGTTAATGGAATTAAATTTATAAAATATAAACCACGGTCGTTGTTTGTCCGTTAACATACTTTGTGAGAAAAAAACTGTAATTAATTGTATTTGCATCATTAAGGATGTTAATTTTGACTCCTCCTACCCACCTTACAAACCCAACCAATCTTAACCAACGCTTTGGAATTTTCAGAACCCAACGGATGTGATATCTACGAACGACGCTCTGTTGCTTCGGTTTAAGACAGACAGCACAATCGTGAGCAAAGGATTCTCCGCATCGTACATAGCTGTAGAATCGATGAACCCCAGCGCCGAATATTCATCGTTAACCGACGAAGACGACGTTGATTTGGCTTTTCACAAGAATAAAAAAAACAAGAAGAAGAAAAACAAACCATCATCGTTGAACCAGACGAATGGCGGTGGAGACGATGACGATAGAGATAGCGGTGGAGACGAAGACGACGATGACAAGGACGACGATGACGAAGACATGCTTGCCGTCAAAGGTCCATGATGACGATATAATATACGATATTATATGTAAAAACATAGTAACCCGGCGACGATGGACGGTTGAGATAACACAAAAAAAAAAAAAATCTAAAAAGAAACAAACCATTAGTTTATTATAATTATTCGATGTAGTGATGTCTAGAATATTACCTCCACGAGACCCCTATTTATAATAATTATCATTATCGTAAGTGTAACGGGTGCCCGTTGTATATCATTATTCTTTGGATCGTAAAACCTGCACTGCAGTCGAAGCCGCTTACCATTATGTGCCAAATAGAAAACGATCGACTCGCCGTGTCATACATAATAATATAACAATATATAATAAAATAACATGCATCAATGTCATATACGGTTTTAGCAAGTCGTTGATCTCATATGTATTATATTATGTTAGATATATGTGATAAACGTGCGCCTCAAACTCCGAAATTAATGTCCAGTCTTAGACACACCCGTCGAAATCGACATCAGCTTGATAATATTATTGAGTTTTTTTATAAAATAACACCATTGTTGTATTGTACAATAATTGCGTTACGCGAACCGATCGATCTCGATGTCGTTTGAATTATTATGATTATTTTATTATTATTATATTTTACTCGTTTTATTTTTGTATATTCGATAATTCGATCATTTTTTTTTTTTTACAGTACCAGTATTTTATATTTTGTAATTATATGTTCTTCCAAAGACGTTTATGATGTACCATGTCAAATGTCGATGTTATAGTGTTACCACGTTCAGACGAGATTTCAAAATGTTGACATTGTACCAGCTGTATACGAAACAAAACGAAACGCCGTCGTTAAATTCTAATAAATATTACGATGACGATAAGCCCCACACGATCACCGATAAATTAAATACATATAGAAAACATATCGAGATCGCCGGTATAGCGACGCGGATAGTCATATAGGACCCACCCTGCAAGTCGTATGCTATTATATACAATTTTTGTTTAAACGTAACATTTAAAAACCCCGCGTGTGTTGTTTTAATGTGACATAAAAATAATATAATATCATTGTACCAACATTATTATTATTATTATTATCATTATTCAATTAAAATATTGATAATCGTTTATATAACCAATAACAAAATAAACAATATTTCTCGTGTGTTTTGAACGTCGCGTTGTATTTTTGGATCCTGTGTAAGTGTAATGAACGTATAACAATAATTATTGTTATCATTTGATTCCTACTAATGTCAAAAATAATTTTTAATTCTTAAATTTGTATTCATGAAAATGTCGTCAAATGTCGTCAATATATGGTACACAGTTAACGCATTGGATTTGTTATCGATAAAGGTTAACACCTGCAGTTGTCCGTAAGGGAAAGAAAAACATACGTGTTTATGTACAATTGTCAATCGTTCAAAACATAGAGCGATGGGTAATGTATACCGATCTATACTATTGACAGATTTTCATTGTTACTGCGATTTATAAACAATACTTCATTAAATACATAATGTAATTTATTATTATTATTATTATATGGCTTTTGTGTTAAAAAATAAAAATAAAGGTAGCTTCGTATTCGGATATTTGGATATCGAAAGACAACGGATGCAATAGTACACTTTGAACTTGTCAGCAGAAGTAAATATTGAAAAACTCCCACGCCACAGAGTTCAAACAAAAATATTATAAATGTAGTATTTCCGTCACACGCCTAAACGGTTATGCCGTACGTTTTTGTATGGTTTCAAATTTTTAATGACTTGTCCGTGTAAGTCGAAGAGTAAGACACAAAAGAACTAAAAATAATGAAGACGATTTCAGCCTTTAAAAATGTGTGCGTTAAAAAAAAAAAACCATAGAAAATATTAACGATAAACACTAAACAATTGGTGAAATATTTTCAAATATGCTTTATAAATTTATATTATTTTAAACAACTGTAAACATTAATTAGAACAAATAAAATAAATAAATATATCAAAATCAGGAGTGTTGGATCTTTCAATATTTAAGTATATCAACAAAATGTTTAAATATAAAAAACGGTTTAAACAAATAAAATATACCTAACAAAATTCGTGGTGTTGCCAATAAATGAATGCTAAATTTTTATACGACTTTAAGAAGTAATTTTGAAAGTAATTTAATTTGTCAGATAATTATCAGATAGTTTATCAACACAGTAACGAACTAGAGAAGATAAAATTCTACACTGTTGACGGTAATTTTTTTTCGCCAGTATAGCAGTATTTAAAAATTACAATTTCTAAAATAAAAACATAAAATAATTTGATTATTTACTAAGATTGTAAAAAATATGCACATAATATGCACTTATGAAAAATATGCCCAACCCTCCAAATATGCCATTATATGCTAAATTTAATCGCCAAATTTAGTCTTAATCGCTCACATTTCAGATCTTCAAACCCTCGTATAAGTGTATACACTCGTTATGAACATGCCGGTCTCTAGTTATAATATAAAAACATTTACTTTTATGAAAATCCATTTGATTTTTATTGGTATATTTACTATACAAGATAATGTTTTAAAATTCAATATCATTATTTAACAATATCTTATAATTCATATTATACCATTGACTAAATAGGAATCAATAAATAAATACTAGTAAAGAAAAATAACCATCAATATCAGATTTGAACCAGTTAGTATTCTTGTTGAAACCTTCGGTTTTAATTTTAAACCGCTCATTTTACCATCACTCTTTTTTGGATTTTCGTATTTAAATCAATTGAAATTTTAAGCATCTTTATCATAAACCGTTTATATTATTATATTATATTATATTATATTATATTATATGCTGTATTTGCGTCATCAATCGATAATTGTATTCAACATCTAGTTCAAATAAAGCACTTTTGAAAATGAAAATGTAAACACAGGCCAGCATATGAAATTGTGAACGCGACATTTTAAAATTTGTTGCGAGATTGTTGTAGTACACTTTTTTTTTTTTTATTATTTTTAAACATAAGACTTTCCTAGCCTAAGGCTATCTAAATCTAGGGATATTGGAAGTTTACATAATTTTTAACATTATAACTTGATAATTAAAATATTTTTAAGTACTAAGGATAATTACAGTTGGTAATAAAAGTACATAGTAAGGTGATTACAATAATATTCTAATATTTACATATATACAATAGTATAACTATAAGTAGCTGAAGTCGTAGAGAGATCTGGAAGAAGCGCATGTGAAGAGTGAAGATTTGAATGTTGGGAGGTGGCTTAGTGTATTACACACGTCATGTAAGTAATAAGTAATGACGTGTACTACATTTATGCGTAATTACTTATATTGTGTTTCATCTTTACTGCACTTCTGATCAGCCCATCTCCCAGAACACTACTGTAGCTGATTACGCGGATGACAAAGCCATCATATCAATTGATAAAAACCCTATTACGGCCTCGGCAAATCTTCAAACTCATCTCAACCTAATGTCTGAATGATACACCGATTGGCGCATTAAACCTAATCCCATTAAGTCAGTACACATAACATTCACTTTATGCCACTCCATTTGTCCAAATGTCTATTTAAATAACATACTCATTCCCACAGCTGACTCAGTTAGATATCTTGGACTTAACTTGGATAAGCGCCTCACTTGGAATAGCCATATCCGTATAAAACGACTTGCCTTAAACGCCCGTCTTCGCAGACTACGAACGCTACTCACAAATAACAAACACTCCAGCTTAAAAATTGAAGTTCTTATGTATAAAACATTACTAAAACCTCTATGGACATATGATCTCCAACTATGGGGTACAGCAAAAGCGTCCAATACAAACAAAATTCAGCAATTTCAGAATATTGCTCTTCGAAAAATAACTAATGCTCCACCCTTTGTTTCGAATTACACTATACATAATGACCTGTCAATAAACTGTGTCAGAAGAAGCTATACGTTTCTACAAAATCTTTCATGCCCGGCTGCAAACACACCATAACCCACTCATTAAAAACCTATCCATCCAAACATTACCTGGCAACCCCAGGCGTTGATTAAAAAGGAGATGGTGCCGTGATCTGCTAGGGAACTAATATCAAATATAAAATTATTAAAAAAAAAAAAAAAATCAGTATATAAAAATATAGCTAGTTTTCATACAACCTCCAGTTAAGTGCCATTAGTGGGTGGCTTCTTACTCATGTACTCATGTATTATATTTTAACCCTTATCAAATATGCTAATTGTGCAAAATTGTACAGATTGTATATATATCGTGTAAAATAAAAAAAAAAAAAAAAAAATCTTTACTGCTTTCAGCGTAAAAATATGTTCGAGCTCAGCACTAATATTAATAATTATATTAGAATAGATCGTACAGATAGATTTTAATACGACGCGTTATCACAGCAGTTTCGTATTGATTATTGGCTGAACATCAACGATAGCCTAAGAAATGCGAAAAAATTCGATAAAAGATATAGGTAGAGATAATTTATTTGTAATTAGTATATTTTACACATTTAACACACGTTATACTCGTAAACAGTTCGTCAAGCGATTTTACATCATATTTATGCGCTCAGGTATAAATATATGTTATTTATTCTTTATCTGCGGACTGAATAAAATTTGTTTACAGACCGCATGCGGCCCGTGGGCCGCCATTTGATGACCCTTATATTAGACCTTCTAACTCTCCCCTTGTCCGCCCACCAAAGAAAAAAAAACAGGGAGGAATTTTTATGTGTCCTAGAGCACCAAAATTCTAAATGTAGACCTGTATCTACTAAAACAATAGTAAATAGTTTCTTTTTAATATCGACAATGTGCAAACGCTACTTACGTATAAATATTAATTTGGATTGTTATCACTTATTACGGTAAAGCGCAAGTATGGCAAGTATGCTATTCTGAAACGTGCACAGTTTCACCAAGAAATATGACCAATACAAACATTACAAACACGGACCGTTAAAAAAATTTAATACATTATTCGCAATTTAGGCGCCTGCCTATATCGCGTGTCGGTCGTTGGACTCGCACAAAAATAGGTAATGATATGTCATATTTTGGTAAATTACCTTAAACACGAATCAGAGGTCGTCAACTCGGCGTAGGTTTTTTTCGTATCCACGTCGATCGTCGTGATTTCCGATCGTCGTTAAATCGATTGATGGGCGCAAAATCAGCGTCATAAACCATTTCCGTACCGCCCGCTGTTAAGCTGTTTGCATTGTAATATTAAATTTATCGTGCGCGTGACGACTGACAAGTCTGGCGACTTTTATTGCGTTACATCGTAATAATTAAAACATGTTTAGTTTAATATAATAATATCATAAAAACATGGCGTTTTACCATGACCGTTCGAAAACCAATAATAATAGTTTTGACGGTCCGCGGGCCAAACCGTCGTTCAAATGCAACGGGAAAGCCGCGCACTCGCGCGCAACTGTACGAAATAAAAATAAAAAACGAACAGACGCGCATCCGCATGTTTAACTTAATATTTTTTTTATTTAATTATTAATTTAACGAGTGGGTCGGACACTGCGGCGCGCGGTGCGATATTAGTGTCCGCCGATTGGTATACGGTAATTACCTATCATCGTTTCGTTATCAAACGCTTAATAATTTTATTATTAGTGTTTACTCAATTTATACGTATTTTATTATTATATTTATATACGTACACTCGTGTACGATAAATGGTAGGTATTCGAGAAATCGCGATTTGTTTCGGAGTTTTCGATGTTGAATAATCACGACGATAATAATATTATAATGTCATAACAACGTACGATAACTAATAAAATTACTATTAAGCCGCCGCGCCAACAACGTATTTTACTTGGTATATTTTTTTCTACGAAATTTACATTGCTCTCGAGTTTGAAAACCGTTTGGATATGTTTTTCGCGGTGAAATCGAAAGCACAGTACAGTAGCTGACAATTACTGAAAATTCGGTAAATCTAGTGCAATGTATAATGTTCAATAAAATACCTCGGCACAAAGCAGATTTTACTAATAACATAGCACAGTAAATTAATTTTTCGTAATAAAATAAAC